GGTCCTACGTTGTAGCTGACTGACTGACTGACTGAAAAATAGTAGCGCATTTCCGACATTCAGAAAGTACTTTTTCTCGGGTGTTTCAGATTTGATCTTCAATACATAATGGAAAGTATAAATGTACAGTAAAACTGTGAAATATTAAGTAAGGGGTAAGAGTAGTGTATGATGAAATGTAAACTAGTACAGAGGAAACAGATTGCCTGAACACACTTGATCCATACTAAATAGTTTCATGCAAAAGTGTTTGTAGTATTACGTAGGATGTCCTGGATCTAGACTTCTGCACAGATGCGACTATTTTATGAATCTCAACGTCTGTGAATAAAAAAACCCAAGAATTAATGCAATTTTTATTTATTTATTTTACATCGAAGGATAAAGAACAAAATGTTAGATTACTTAGATGAGTAACCTTATCGAAAAACTGATTTATAGTACCAAATCAGTAATGATGATCATATGTAACACAAGTTACCGTTCAGTGACTGACTAGTGTGGGTACATTTTATAACATGTTCTGGATGTGTAAATGGATATGTTACAGAGAACAACTGTACAGATACATTTAAACTGACTGACTAACTGTTCATGTCAACCGAATCCGTGTGGAAATTCTCTAAAAAAACTAGGTGACTTTGATTCCAGATATCATATAACTTTAAATAATTCATTCACACTGACTTGAAAATCAATGACAGACGGTTTAACTCGGGTTTATTTCCCGACTATTATTTGAATAGCACGTATGTTCGCTGTCTGATATAATGACAGAGTGATTAAGTTTGTTTGTTCATTGTCTAATTATGCAGAATTAGTGTTAGGTGAATTAACTTAACAGTAATTAAACTGTCTGAAATACGTATGATGGAAAATGTGACAATTTTTAAAATAATAAATGAAAGAATCAGTACATTACAACAAAAAGCCAAACTTATCAATCCATTTATTAACTGATTGATGACTTGAGACATTTAACTTCTAGTTAAGTCTCAATTTTACTTCAGCTAAAATTGCTTCAGTTAGTTTAGTTATTTAATCTTTATTGAACATTCCAAAGATTTCACTGTTGAAATAGACACAATTAAATTAAATATTGAACAATCTATAATCATCAGTGAACAGAAAAATAAGTTGTGTGAGTACTGGTTTAGTCGAGAAAGTTATGTGTAACTTGGCGGCATGAAACGTCCTCTCGACAGATCTTTTGAGTCGACGGGTTAGAATATCACCCGCTATGTCGCCTTTAAAGTCAAGTTTCAGATATGTGTGTATACCAATTCAACTGCTCTTGTGGAGCTAGTTACATAGGCCGTACTCAGAGGGCTTTATCCTTGCGTGTTCGTGAACATGTACCAGCATGGTTAGGAAAAGGAGTCACCAAATCGATTAACAGCACCATTCTTTCTAACTTGGTAGGTAGTGAACATCATATCAAAATAGAGGAAGCTTTCTCTGTTTTGTATCAAGTTCCAAAATATCTACCTCAAGGAGCTAGATTACGACTGATCCACCTATGACGTCAACCGCTTGTGATTTGGTTTATTTTAGAACAGTACTAGACGTCAGTTATATTAACTAAGTAAAAGGTTTAAGACTTTCTAAGATAACCGAAAAAAATAAGTAGGAAATATTTTTTTCGACTATTTAGGAATGAAATAGACACAGAATCTTGTAACAGAATGTAAGTGCAGTTACTCGTCATTCTATCTATATCGCTTGATATTTCGTTATTTGAAATTCACTTTCGAATATAAAATAAATTATCAATATACACTAGCTGAAATAACAGAGGGGTAAGTTATTAAATTATTTAACTTTACTGATTGCCAATCTGACATTGATGCCCATTTTGACCATGGACAACTTTTAATGTAATGGTATTGAAAACATGCACAATTATTTGTACGAATATTCGTCTATATTGAAACGAATGGTTGGACAGAAAATTGGGCACCATGTCCAGAGAAGACATCAATTATGAATATTATATTTAAAATTGTTTCAGCAATCCAATTTATCACTGAAGCCGAGACCATATAAAAACTAACTTTTCTTATCAATAATAAAAAGTTCGCGGCAAAATTTTGAGGACACTTCAAACAAAGATGGAGAAAAATATAATTTGTACTTCATGCTTTATTCTAAAATACTATGTAGGGTGCACATTGCATACTCTCAATCTTCGATCATTATTATTCGTAAATATTTTACAAAACGAACAGGTCTACAGTACTTTTCAAACAATGCCGCACTATTTTGTTTACGTTTTTTCGACTGTCTGAATTCGAATACTTAACGATTGTCGAGTATCGATTTATAGTAAGGATTTAGTTGGTCTATTTTATGAAACATCCACCGCTCACATATCAAATAACAAAATAACTGAAGAGGACATACTGTCTGTTCTGGAATAAGATGATCAGACAAAAATATTATTTCTTAGACATCTTAGTTTAACACCAATGACATACGGAAACAAAACTTGAGTATGATGTATGTAGGCTTGATAACGTTATTGATATAAGGCATTGATAGGTATATAACACTTTATTAGTATTGTTACAAATTATTTGTCTACCTGCTTCCAGTACAAAGGATATATTTAAAAAAATTGATGCCACTGAATTGAGGAAATTCGGTGGACAAGAATGAGAATTCGAATTCACAGAACATTAATTGCCCACAAAGATTTCCATGGATTAAAACAACCTTAATAATTCTTTATGTATGACTGACACCATTTGGTCTGGAGTGAGAATCAAATAACATATCAGTAAATAACTACCCGTTATTCGGTATATGTACCGTAGAACTTGGTTTTATATAAGTGGTCCTAATTCACACTAATTAGATTTACCAATCTCGTCATAAATTAGTTGTATGGTATTCAGAAAAGTGAGCAAGTTATTCGTGAAACACATCTGAAATGTGTGATTTTGAAAATCAAGACAAATAATATGAAATTACCTAACTTCTTGTCGTAAAACTAGTGTCAAACACACCAGCTTTCTTCAAGTAAATAACCAAACAAATAGGGGGAAAGATGAATAGGAGGAAGAAATATTTTTTTGCTCTATTCATCTTTTTTACGAATTATATGAATGGGATTTTTCACTTAACTAAATGAAAAGAAAGTTACGAGATTCATGCTAGGAAGGAAGCTTCAAGTGCGTGTAGTTAGAAATTAGCGTAAACAAATTATGCGAGTTGGTTAAAAGAAAGCTTCAAGGAACACAGTAGATTGACAAAAAGCTTATGAGCCAATTTATTAAAACAAAATGACTGGGAAAAAATTACCATTGATATTTTCTTTAAACTACTTATTATTAGTAAGTCCTATAATATAAGGGATACAATTAGGTAATGAGATGTGGAATCTGAAAAACAGGAAATTTAATGAATTAAGGGGTTCGTATATTTGGTTGCTTTGATAATTTGGGACAAAAAAATGTGTAAAATGAGATCAATTGATTCCATATGACTTTTTATCAGTTGCAAAGTTTAAAGTTATGATGAATAACACGATAGGAAACAGAGGATTAACTTATTTTAGTTCATGAATTTGAGATGAATGTTCAAAACACGGTAGTTGGATTATCCTCAGAAATCAGTCTCTGGAGAGCAGTATTTTAGATAATGCAATGTAATTGCCAAGTCGCGTGACACACAGTGTAGTACTAAACGTTCTTAGGGAAGTAAATATGTATAACGGCTAGTAGTAGAATTCAGGATGCATTTCGCTCTATTCGAGGCTTGTCAATCGGTTACTCATATATCTGGAACCCAAACCCCGCCCAGTGCACTATCCACTGAGCCAAGTTAACTACCAGCTTGTGTAACTGGAGTCGACTTCATTTTTTAATAGTTTGAATCTTCCTCTAATATTAAGGACTGAACTTTGGTCAATCTCTTTTCGAAATGCATGCATCCTGAGGGGATAGTCTCGACATTTCCACTAGGTCAAATGGAAAGAAACGTATGTCATGGATCCCACTGCTAACCACAATCAGTTTATACTAAAATACTAATGACTTAATAGTCATATTAAGGCAATCTGCACAGGCTGAACATATACCAGAAACTGATCAAAATTCAATTCTTAACGTCAACAGGATGATTGGTAAACTTAAAAATAAATATTTAATCCACAAAGTTCTAAAATACATAGGCACCAAATAATCTTTTTAACCCACTAGAAAACAATTGTGAATTTCGAAGAAATAGAAACATGTGTCAATCTGCACCAAAATGTATGTAGCGTTAATGAAACAATGACTCAACTTATTTATCGCGACAGACAATACACATAAGTCGGTAAGTAAAAAGACGCTTAGTACATTTTAAAATCCAAATTGGTTAATCGATACATTAATGTTGAGGGTTATCGAGTAAAGATTACAAATTTATCTCTCAATATGTAACACAGTTAAGAATCCTTCTCAATGAATACGCGACTACACACTTTTACAATTGAGCAGGAAAATTACAGTTAACATTTACACATATTGTCAAAACATATACAGACAATTCTTGTAAAACTATCAACTAAAAAATGGACGAAATAAGTCATCAAACAATCAGACTATATGGTACGAAGAACAAATCTCCAAGCCGACCTACTATTACGTATCCAAAGTAAAAAGGAGGAAGTTTTTGTGGAATAGATGAAATATAGCTAGCAGTGAGATCCAGGATGTTTGTCTCGTCCTATTTTAGACTCATCAACTGGGTGTACCTGCATCTTAAAAACGATGTTTACTGGGTAAACTTTGAGATACAGGTACATTCAACTAAACGAATCTCAAATAGGACAAAATGTACACTCTAGATTCCATTTCTAGTCACATTCCATTTATTCTATATAAACTTGTGACATATTGAGGCAATCAAAAAAGGATAAACATATGCCAACTAAGACTGATCAAAATTCAGTCAAAAGTATCACAAGATGAATAAATCAAACCCATTGCAAACTAAATTAAAAACAAGGTGTCAGAGAGGAGTAATCATGTTATATAATAAATTAGTTACATTCATTGATTATAACAAATACTTATCAGTCATCTTTGTGTTCTTTCAATCAATCTATATTGGTCTTTGTTAAGTTATAACACTATGTAAAATACATTAATTTGAATAAATATACATATAATACTAATAATAAAATGTACCCCAATTCAACTCCAGACATCAACTATATACACAATAAGAGAATAGCAGTAATATCTTGGGTAACTTAAGTAAGCAATATAACAAGAACAAACAAAAATGGGCCAAACGCAAACACATATTAACATATACATATAGAAATAGGTATGAAAGGATTAAAATTAAATGATCAGTGAAAAGAAAGAGACAACAAATAAACAAGTGGATAGGAAATAATTAGAAATTAAAGTTTGTAGTTTGTATTTCTTTTTCAGAAAAAAAATTAATCGTACATCTTGAAGAAATTTACACTTGCACATAATCTCTTTGTATAATAATAATAATAATTAGGTGTATGCTACATCGTTAGTAGCATATGGAGGTTCGTCGATAAGTTGTCGACAATTATGTGAAGTTGAATTGGAATTCGACGAAGAAGTCAATGTTTCCAAATTTTGTCTAGCTTTTAGACGACGTGTACGATTACTTCGTTGATCTAAATCTTTAAGATATTGTTTAGCTAAACGCCATGCTTCCAATATTCGATGCATACGCTCTTGTAAAACCTACAGAAGTGGGGCAAAGGGTGGAACAAAACTTATGATTAGTGAAAAAACAATTGAACTTTTGAAAATTCTCACTCAATAGAGTTTATATATATATATATATATATATATATATATATATATAACAAACGGACAGACATCCACAGACGTGTGCTGACCCAAGTTACTACACTAGATTAACACGACGAGACGAATATAATAAAATGAATCGCGGAAGGTATTGAAATACTGTAGTAGTGATGATGGATAAGACTGGATACTGAGAATATGGTCAAAGAATGACCAATGGGTATAGGGATTTCGAAAGACTAAATTACTTTTTATTCTACCATATTATACGGTAATAAACAGCACATTTTTGTGCAATTAGTTCCCTTTGTGAATTTAAATAAAGCAAGAACAAACATGGGTGCAGAATAATATGAATTCCTTACATTTTGTGGCTTTGCATTAGCTGCTTACAACCAAATATGTATTAAACGTTTAAATTGAGGTAAAATATAATGTGAAACAGTTGGCATAAGTGAGTGAAAAGAATCGGAATGACAATGGTTATCAATAATATATATATATATATATATATATATATATATAATGATTGTTCTGGCTTTATTTAAGTACATTTTTGGTTAGGTTAGTGTTCTAACTCTCTCTTTCTTCTTACGGTTAATGACCCAGCTATTCCTATTGCTTAGTATTCTCGGACACCGATTCACTCGACAAGTCCCCAAATCAGAACACGGTTGAACAGGAAAAAAGATTATATTCCAAATAGCAAGTCAGAAGCCAGTAGGAAGCACAATAGGGGAAAACGTCGGTATATTTATAGTTTTTACATAAGAAGAATCCAGAATATTCTCCAACTATCGACTAGCGCTGATTGGATAAGAATTAGCCAATCAGCGTGCACCAAAGCAATCATGCATTGAGCATGCTTTAGTCTAGTCTATGTCCCGCTAACAGTTAGGAAGGCAACTAACGTTGGAAATAAGATTGATGGATTAAAGTCATTTTCCCATCATTTACTTGAAATGGATTTCTGCTTAGAAAAGCACCTTTGAAATAGATTTTGAAATTGTAGTAACCTAAACATAATAATTTAGAGACATAAATAGAGATATAAAAATAACTTGCTTGACATTTAACATCAGAAGGTAGATCATCAAAACCCGCGATAGGGAAAAATGGTCCACCGAATCGTCTATGATTAGACATAGAACGGTCAACTGGATGATTTTGAAGTGACTTCGAGCAACTAGGCAATGGTGATGTACCGAGTGTTGAATGTGGAGATGTTGGAGGCTGATAATGTGGGGATTCCAAAGCAGGAACTGGTGAATTTTCAGAACCCTAAAATTATATTATTTTGTTTAAGAAATGAAATTAAAGCCATGATAGGAAGGAAAAATACTCATAAAAAATTACTAAATATTTATTGAGACACTTTATATGAAGATGAGGAAATTATATGGTGAATGTGTATTGTACATTCTAAATAAATAAATATGATAAAATTCAATAGAAATCATTGTAAGATTACAGAGACAGTGTTGATTCTTTCACTGTATTGCTTTTCTTAAATGATATTAGAAACGAAATCCGTGAAGTTTAAAATGAAACAATTGTTTGACTTCAATGACTGACTGACTCATCAGCAGTCGGTATACACTAGACACTGACGGAATCATAAACAAAATAAGGATCGGCAACGAACACCATATAACATATACATCATAATTTATATTATTACTTATGACAAAGATAATTTATGCAATATATGCAAAAACTGATTTTTATTATTTTAGGCACTATGGATCAATGTTTAACGTATTTGGTTATAAAGTATCAAGAAAACAGCTTGTGCCAACATGGACCATAATGATGTCAATTTGGTTGCAAAAGATAAGGTTTACAACTGATCCATGTGAGAGTTTTAGCACTATGTTTGTGAAATATGACCTCTCTGAGTTAAGGATATCTAGTGATTCACAGCGTTCAGTCATCATTGTTTCCGAAGGATTGCTGGCAGTCAGTGGTAATACCATGTTGGCGATTCGGATGATCGCTAATGTGTCCAAACCTAATTACGATAATTCAAATTGTTTCACCATGCTCGGTGGCTTGGATATGTTTTACAAATGTTATCTCAGCGGCTTTTACTGCGTACATTGTTTGCTAATGATGGGACTGGTTGGAAAGAGCGCAGAAGTGGTTATTTTCTGACGTGAGGTCATGGTGTGTAGGTAGGCTGTATAAGATTGACAAATTTCGGTCCGTCACAACTCCCATCCCAAGGTCCTAGAGATAATGTACCTCAGTTCATTACGATAAATCAGATATAGCTCTGACTGAGAGCGAATGATGAACCTGATGTACTTTTCTTCTACATTCCTCATAAAAGTGAGACAAACCCCTTTAACTGAAAGACAACTCTCTCGATCGTGTTTTAACAGAACTATATCTCTTGTCACATACTATTCTTCTTCACTTATTTCTACGTCTCTATTGTTCTTTTTTTCGCATAATGGACCTTCTCCCACGTATATCACGTTACAGCATAATCTTTAGTGGTTTGGCACATTCTATTTCTGGTGCTCAGCTATGCCAGAATTTATGCGTATTGAAAAAATAGAATCAAAAACACAGTGATACAAAATAGTGAATTGATTTCTTAAGGTTTATTTATTAAAACTCCATTCAACTCGTAAGGAAGTATTGATGTGGAAATCACCTGTAATGTCTATCACTGTAACTTATATGTACAATTAATAGATTTTTTTCTAAATATGACTACTTTAAAGACTTTCTCTTCTAATTCAATCTATTTTGAACAAAGACTGATAACTCGGAACATTATTGATGATGAATTATAAAAAGATTATTTTAACTAAATTTCATGGAAGGTAGTAAATTGTTATCAGCAAAGTAAATCTCAAAACAAATCTTAAATAATATATAAATCGACAGTCAAATATATAGGTAGTACGACGTTTTGTTTATGAATGGCGGTTAATTTGTGATTAACTGTGTTATATGGGAATAATAGTCACTCATTACATACCATCAGCGATTATGAGTCTTCGAAATTGAGGTATACAACGAAGTTAAAATATGATCATACAGTGAGTTTGAAGAATAACTAAACAAGGAGTATATATCGCATAAAAATCAACTGTTTTACAACAGGGTACAAAAACATAAGGATGCAAAAAAAGTATTCAATGTCAATAATTATGGAAATGATCATAACATTTAACAGTTTTGGGCAAGGCAAAAATATCTACAGAGTAAAGTAAATTGATTTCCTTTTGCGGTTTTCTAACAGTTGTAAACATCTTAAAACTGTAATAGTGTTCAGTGAAGTTAATGTAACCAGAAAACTGGTATAGTATCAGGGAGAGGAGAATAAGGAAGTATTCGAAATAGTCAGTCCCTCCTCTAGAAATGCTCACACAAGACCACGTGTATACAGCCACTCCCAGGGACGTCCTACTCAATTCCTTCTCGCGGTAGGGGTGTTATCTGTCAAATTGAGAGGGTGAGAAACGAGTGTCCGGCGCTTTAACAGGGTTGGCGGACACGAAGGATTCATGTTTATGGGTTTAAATAAAATGAAATAGTTACAAGTATTACATATTTAAGCCTAAATATATATATCTGCTAGTATCGCTAGTATTCACCTTCTGACCATGAATCACTAAGCAACAGCTTTAATTAATAAAGGTTTGTAATTCCCTATTGTTTGATAATCAGCACTGCAATAGATCATTCTCTGTCACTCTCTGCCTCTATGTTATAGTCATTCTATCACAAGCTATGTTTTAAGATTACATGAATTGTGACTAACACTGATATCCAGGACACTGGTGTTTTCTTATATGTGACTCATCGGGCAGATTTATTCGATCTTCACACTGCGACTAGAACCCAATACATCTCACCCTACACACTTAAAGTGTTATCCATGAAACTAGTGAATCTAGATATTCATTAACGTTTTGCAACAGGTATGATATTTATACCATTAGTACCAATATAATGACAAATTCATTTGGTGCAATGCCTTAGTCTTGAAAGTGTGTATTATATATTTACTACTCAATAGGATCATTTGTTGGAGCAGTTAACGAAAGAAAACAAATTCATTGTATTTTGTTCAATGACTTTAAAAATTATGTTATCTAAATCAAAAAGAATCATGAGAAAACTAATAGATACAATACTAAAAGTAATCAATACATACTGTAATACGATGTGGTGTTAAATGTATACGTTTATTGCCACGCCTATTTGAAGCATCAGTAGAATTACTGTTATTACTTGATCGTCTTATTCGACTACGAGATGATAGTTTAGGGATATTGCCCTGTTCTAATTCACTGACTTTATCGTCATCTTGTTGTCGCTGTTCTGCTTCTTCTTCTTCATCAATTGTAGAAAGCTCTGTATGAGGTTTATTCACAACTGTCACATTTATTTCTTCATTGTCGTTGACAATTTCATCAATTGAATGATGATTTTCATCATCGGATAAAGAACTCATAGTTTCAGGTATATTATTAGAGAGTTGTTGCGTTTGATGACGATGATCATCATTGTCTGTGCAACATTCTACATCTTCATCTTCTTTGCTTGAAGACAAGTGTAAATGAGTTTTTTCAGAAGACATAGTTAAATCATATGATAATCCATCCATAGGATCTGTGCTCATAGTTTGAACAGAACTTTGATCATCATCATTATCATCATCATCGTTGACATTATCATTTGGAATTCCATGATCTCTGACTTTTTGAACTGCTACTTCTTCTTTTTTGACCTTTTCTTGTTTATCATACATAGTTATAGATGTTGGAGACATATTTTCTGTTTGTAACTCATTCACATGTGAATTGTAAACTTGTGTATTATCATCAATAATTTCAGGAGATAAATGTGGAGCATTTGGAATCATGGAGCTTTCAGTAATTTCCTGTTTAACAGACACATCTATTTTGTTAATTTCAGTGTCTTCTGATATTTCGTTATCAAGTGATACATTAACTTTAGTTTGATGAATGTTCATTTCTTCCAAGTGAACTTCCGCTTCAACACTAGGCACGTTATCATGGAGACAATTCACTTCAGATGATGACGAAGACCTCATTAAATCTATCGAAGGAAGTGAACATAAGATTATAATACAAAATCTAAAATAAAGCTTGAAAATGAGTCCAAGTGTTTACCAGACTATAGTATACCATATTATACCCCATAAGACTAATAAAATAACATATATCAATCAAGTGGCATTGAATTGATCAACACAATATTTAAATTTCCTCGATTGTAAATGAAGAATAAATTGTTTCTCACTAACACGCACAATGAAATTAAACCAATTCATCGATTACGAGTCATAATTACAACTGAATGAAAGAGAATAATAATGCTGAGAAATGCCGACAAATTGACCAGAATCGAATACGAATACTATACAACTAAACCTTCAGGTTGAGGAATCACAACTTAATCATACATTTGACAACTACATCCTTTGGAACCAACACCACTAATACTAACCATTGGTCCCTGACAAAATTCGACATATAGATAATGATTTACTAAACTTTGTAGTGGTATCTTAGATTTGCATGAATCGACAAATTTAATTATTAAGCGAAGTTTCCGATTAGTATGTTGTTTAATACGTTCATAGTTAACTTAAGGTAAAAACTAAGCAAAAAGTATGAATCAACTGATTTTTGAGTAAAGACTACAGGATATAGGTCCTGGGTTCAAGCCCCGCGTGCAGGATTGTGGATGCGTGCTGCTGAGGAGTACCACACTACGACATAACGTCCGTCCAGTGCTTCCAGGTTTTCAATGATGGTCTAGCATAGATCAACTCATGAATTCAACTGCGAAAGTACTATAATCTCCACAAATCCCCATACGGAAAATATAGCATTGTATGTACACATTACAAGCTGAGATAGAATCGGGTCATACAATTGATTTCAATGGCACAAGAATCCTTCAAAAAGGTTTTAATTCTTACAAAGAAAGATTAACCACTCAAGCCCTGTATACATGGCAACTAATAATTAATAAGTAAACCTGAACTCTTTATTCCATTTTATCCATCACTTATTATCTGGATAACAACAATTACTTTCAAATGTTCTAATCAGTTGTCTTATCTGAATATTGGTATAGGGGTGTGGATATTGTTGGGATTAGAGTGATATCAGGAATGGATCGATGTTAGACCACCATTCAATCTAAACTTACCTGAATATCATATGGGTCCAGTGCTTCCAGGTTTTCCATGGTGGTCTAGCTTCAACTGACTCATGAGCTTAACCATTGAAATTATCTGAATATGTTAAACAATTAACTGGAACAATAAAGACAACACAGACATTCATCCATTCACTTTTATTGTGTTCATTTATCTTCATTTTACGCATGCTGTGACATTTGATTCATATCACATATAAAAATTGTATGTTTTCTTAAAAATTCACAGATCAGAGGCGGTAAATAGTGAGTTAAATTTTTTCCTACAATACTTACGAATACACACAGTGTGTTATCTTAACACACTTTTCGTTTCATACTACCTGTCTCTTACACACTAAAGCAAATACCTACTTTAAACATTGTTAAAGTTGATTAGATGACCTTTTTAGTAAACAGTTAACCAGAGAACCATGTACTTATTCATATTCGATGATAATTATGTTTGATTATATTTCCTTGAAAAAGATTGGACCAGATTACCAGGCAAAACGTTGGTTTTACTTCAACTTTATTCTCTGGGATTTTACAAATACATCCTTTCTCCTTAAGCTGAGATACATATTTATGTAATAAAGTTTAACTTATAAAAAGAATAGACTAAAAATAACTATTACACAAATATTACCTGTATTAAGACAAAGCGAGATTTTATTTGTGTCCTCAATTTTCTCCAATGATTGTTGTCCGCTCGTCGATTGAACAATTTTATTCACCTCTTTTGTACGAGATCGTTTAGAATTGGATAAAAGTTTTGCAGCAACAACTGATGAAGCAGTGCGATTACAAACTGCAGGTGATGCAGTTTGTAAAGCTGAACCAGGGGGTGTATCACCTAATAATTGTTTATGTTGACTACGTGTAAGTCGTGGAAGTGCATCATCAGGGCCATAAACACTTTCTGAACTACTACTACCACTACCATCGTTACTTTCATTATGAGAAGTTTCAAAAGAATGATGAATTTCTTGTTCACTGTCATCATCATCATCAGAATCTGAAGTATTTGAACTAGCTTTCGATAACGTAGTTGAAGATTTAATAAGTCGTATCTGCTTTTGAGATGTGTTTGGGGAAGAATTACTTGAATTTTGAGTAGAATGTCTTAATCGAGAACGTGAATGTTTAGAAGTGGTTTTCCTTTCATTTGAATTAGAAGATTCTGTATCGGATATATCTTCAAAATGTAGTGTGGGATTATTATACTTAGTTGTCTTGGCTTGTTGACTACCCATAGTTGATTTTGATGACTTTTTAGTTCGTAATTTATCTGGAGATTTTATGTTTATTTTTTCCTCATCTGTTTTTCTTACAATAGCACCTGAAGAACCACTACTACTAGTACTGGTACTCATGGAACGATCTGGATTTTTTTCTTCCATACACGTAGATTTGGTAGTATTTCCTTTCTTTAAAGTATCTGTAGTATTATTGAGTTTTTTTTGTAGACGATATGAAGAGATATCAGCTCCTTTCCCTTTAGGTCGATTATGTTTCGTTATACTTTTCTGAGGTTTTTCATTCTGGGGTGAGGAAAAATATTAGAATTTTTACTTATGCATAAAACAGTGGCTACACAATGAATAGAAATTGTATGAATATTTATTAGGAAAGAGAACGTGAACATTCAGTAAAACATAGTATAGTAACTGATGGATGATATATGATTAAAGTTCTGAAGTTTGTAGAGGTTATCACTCCAATGTGTGTGTAAGAGAGAGAGAAAATTATCATTATCACACATCAAATATCCAAGATATCAATGGGATGTAGGTAAAATTCTATAAAAATTAAAAACTATTTAATCAGTGTTTACCACTCGTTAACTTAATGTAGTTTTTCGTATATGGTTGTTACACATAGTGTTTCAACTACAAATAAACTAATAACTGCCAAAAAATATATTGGGGAGACCAAGTTAAAACTCTCAACTCAATCGTTAAAATGGATTTTCTTTCTCATCAAAACAATCACCTATTTAAACTGAAATTTACAATGTATTATTAAAGAGTTTACAAAAAGATAATGTTAAACAACCAGTTTTAATATACTAATTCAACTGGGTAGCCAGCTCCAAACAATCATGAATTGCGATGAGACTTTTGATTGTGAGATAAGAAGATCTTGACTACTTTAAAATCTTCACGTAGGATACAAGAGATAACTATCTTCGCTTTATATTGATTTGATAATTAAGCTTGGCTGCGAATTTATGATTACATTTCTATGATAACAAGTAAAATTACTAAAATCTCTGACTTTAAAAAAAATAAAAACTATGGTGACTGCAGTAAAGTACAGCTTTTGTTATTCCAAAGATTTTAGACAGAAAATATACAACTTCTATACAGTGATCATAAGTAATAGGTATCAGGTTTTAGTTCAAATACAATTATTCTCTATCTATTCAACTATTAGAAAGGTCCCAAATTATATATATAGTTTTTCTTGTGGATCCGGTAAATAGATAAGTGAACGATAACCTACACTCCATACTAACTACACTGACCTTCGTTATTTTTTGATTTGCTGCTTTCTGTATAAATTTACTTTTATTATGTACGCACGATAATTTTTGCTGTCAATAATATGAACAGCTTAGTTGTACTAGAATTCGAATTGTCCTGGAAATACTAAATGCAATTTTTAGTCAAGAACTGTTTTTCTTTCTAACCGAGACATTAGTGTAAATACAACTGAAGTGCAAGAGTAGCGGTAATCAGAGAAAAAGCTAGCAGAAGCGAATAAAATAGACTCTTCGTTTTAGTCTCTAATCAGTTAGTAATAAGATGATACATCATCAATATATTCCCGAACAATCGAGAATACTACTGCGCTTCCGCAGCTCTAGTAAAAAAGATTTTCACATCAATTTTATGATTAATATAATAATCGGACAGATAATTTAAAACACGCTTTAATGATAAATCACTTACAGGAGATAAAGATTTATATTCTTCATCTACTCTAATGATTACAGAATTATTCGATAATGAACATTCAATATTCTGATGTTCATTCAAAACCATTTGTTTGTTATTATCATTTAGAAGACTCGACTTGACATTTTTGTATTCCTTACTAATCATCAATACTGATGGGGATCCGGACGACAACTTATTTTTTGATGAATCATCGTTCATTGAAAGTTGATGTTTATCATTATTGACGATTCGTTTAGATTTTTTTCTTGATAAAATTCTCAATTCATTGGTAACTTTTCGTTTTGCTAATTTCGACAGTTTAGAGACAAGATTTTTCGCTCTAATTGTAGAGGATGAAGATATTTTAGATTCTTTGAAAGAAAAAAGAAGAATGAGTAAAAAATTTAGTCGCATTAAAAAGATTCAATTAAAACAACATTGTAGTCATAGTAATAAGTATAAAGCGTCCACTAAGTCGTTTGCTGTTGGTTTGACAAAGGCGTATATAAGATGCAAAAATAAAAGTACATTTTAAAAAAGCATAGAACTAGGAGAATAGTGGAAGGAGTGAGATATTACAAATAAACAAAAAACAATATAATCGATTGATGCGTTCGATCGATTTCTGAAGTCCTGGTGCGAAGACACAGATAGTGAGATTGAATCGCATAAGGAGTAAACCATTTACCTATCGATTAAAACTGAATAGCATCCCAAGGTATAGCGAATGTAACGGAACTCAGAAATGTGAAGCACTCAGCACAAATTTTGTATTCTAAACGTGTCATATAGCCACGAAACATTAAGGTCCTTGTTGAGATTTTGTGTCGAGACCTGAATAAACAATAAACAATGGTCCCAAAGTAGGACAAAATAGATTTTCACTTCTACGTCATTCCTGATTGTCCTGTTGTCAATATCTATCACCGACGAAAACTATCTTCACATCAGACTAGTTATAACAAAACCAACCACCTAAAAATCACAATAAGTCTACAATCTTAAACTTACCAGCAATTCCAACTAACAAATATCAGTCTGTAAGTCTTTATCAAGTACGATATATAAAGACTCAGGGATAACATGATATGTAAAGTCGAATTGTTGTGGGAGTTTTGTTCTACTACGATACCATTATACTGTGTAAATTTACGTGGTAGTGGGCAGTGCTAAATTCTGATCTACAACTTTTCAACACGTTATTTATCCTTCATCCTTTGACAACTAAAATCAAATAATACCTACTCACTAAACATGAAACTATTCTATATAAAATGTTATATTCCGATGAGAATAATGAATGGTAACTGTCAGAATCTATTTCTGGACTAATACTATACATATATTTTTATTGTATAATTGTTAAGTAACTAAACTATTTGTATTCATGTTCCTCTTATTATAAGCTTTATTTTGACCGATGAACTATTATTATGCAATTTAAAATTCTTGAGTTATGCCGAGTTTATCAATTACTATCTCCCACATTCACAACCGCTTTTGGCTAAATCTTGTACAAATGTTTTTCTCATTTTATGGTACAATGTGGTCTTTTTTGTTTGTATATAAACGCAGTATGTTTGAAATACATGATTCATATCGCAGAAGCTGAGATTGGTGTTCTGGACTCAGCAGGCAGGGCTAGGCGAGAAGAGGGACTAATAAAGACTCTAGACTGCTCGTACAGGTTTATGCGTCATTCGTCCGGTCGATAATTCACTGTCCCCTAATTGGTGGTATCATTACGTTATATATTAATGGGGCACAAGGCCACAAGTTATAACACAGTTTACCTGAAACATTCTGACAATATTATGAAATAATTAGACAAGAAAGACGATACGATGATGTTTTTTTTTCATTTAAAAGGATAGATTTTCACACAAACACTAAAAGATGATCAATAGCTACTGTGTACCTGAAGAGAAATATCTATCAAGCTTACGATAGAGTTTCTAAAACTCCATAATATTGAAGTACTACGTTATAAACAAGTATTACCAAAATAAAATTTCTTTTTCGACAACTTCATCTATAAAAGCTGATACATTTGTATTTAGTTGAAATAACTAATTTGGTAAACAAATTCTACAATCTATCAACTATACATTTTGCATAATACGTGGAGTTAATCGAATCCAGTTTAAAACAAAAAAATAAATTATTTGATAAAACATAGGACTAATTTAAAAGTAGAGGAATTATACAAGACTAGATCTCTAAAATTTTAATATACAATGAAAGATTGCGGTATGTTTTGAATTTCTATTCTTCAAACAGGTAAATGAAAGTAACGGCAACTGACAGTAATTGTAATTGTAATGGCTGAATGTAATCAGTGAACTTCAGTAGAAAGTGGGACGAAAATACACGTAATTTAAACATGGAAAAAGACAAAAGCAAGAAAAATATTAGAGGAAGATACAAAAATACGAAGGAAATTACGATCATGACGATGAAGAACAAACCCTTTTTGTAGATGCAGAGATCTGGCCTTACACGACGGTTATGTCGTGGAGATTCAGAAAACTCGAAAACAGTCAACAAAGTCTCTAAAAATGCTGAGAAGCATCTTGTCCAACCAGCATTTAATAGAAGTTTTGCCAGAAACTTCTAGAAAGTGAAAAGTCACATGTCGAGTTTCTGATTAGATGATAAGCTATATTGCTACTATGTTTAGTAACGTTCCAAAGTTTTCCGGAAACCTAAGGCCATCTAAAATACTATAAAAATCCTAGATTCTCTGTACATAAACGAACCTTTGAAGTGAAGCGTTTATTTCACATTTCGCGCCTTGTCCCTAGTGTTCAAGTTGCTGTGTAGAATCTAGCCTGGGTGTTACTATACTCGCCTCACCTACACACAGTTTGATTGAACATTTTAATTTTAATGATAATCGAAAGGAAATAAAGCGAACAACAATAAGAAAAGCTTACTCAAAGTTGATAACTTTGATTTGGAAACCAGATTACGACTAGAAGATGAATTACGAGTTGGTTTAATCTGATCACCTTGACAACTCAATTTGCTATGCAACTTACTACTTGGTTGATTGACATCATCCACAACATCCAATGGTTCTTTTTTACAATCTACAGATAATGATCCATCAGTTACGCATCGCTTTGTATCTGCTACTAATGGAGTTGGTAAACCGGTAGTAGTAGTAGTAGTATTGTAATAGATTTCACTATTAATTGATTCATTTGAAAGATTTTCCATTTTTAATTTCTTTGACTTAGCAGATAACTTGACAGAAGAACGATTTGGTGAGCTGGTACTAAAAACATCCGAAGCAACTGATAGATTTGAATGAGGCCGTTTGATAGGCTTGATTTTCTTACTGATACGTCCACGTAGGTTAATAGATAGTTGTTTAGTTTTACAGCCACCTGGTTAGTATTGTCAATGATAATAACAAAATATAAGTGTCATTATTATAAAATACAGTTGCATCGATAATATAACTGCTTACTTTTTAATAATTAATTTTACAACCAAAAGTATAGATCATATAATTACACCACTCAGTCAACTTACTTAGGTTTGAATAGTTCAAAGGAACGACGTTAATTATAAACCTTAAGATAATCTATTAAAATGAACAAACAAAATTTATGAATAATTCCTTTTACGATTTACTTGATAATTATTTGATGTTACCTTATCATTGCCTTTATTCCCCGCTAAGCAATGATAGCAAAAAATGTTAACAAGTTGAATAAGTACATATTTTTTTAGTCAGGTTATACGATGTTTAGATGCTTGTCTACTAGCCTGACAGTTGTATCTCAGGGTATCTATAATAAGCAATTATCCTACAATTTTTTCGTATGAGATTACTACAAATTTAATTATTATTGTTATGTTTTTATATTTATAATCGGAATAATAATTCACTGTTACTGAGTGGTTAACTTGAAATAAAATCTCTAGTGATTTATTCATACATTTTAAATGATTCATTAATAAAAAAGTTCAAATCAAATTACCTTGGAAAAAACTATACCTTATTTTGTAAAGACTAACAATACAATGTAGTTCCACATATTAAAAAAGTACTAAGTTAGTTAAGATTACTCTAGTAAATGACAGATTGTTATGTTTGCCAAAAGTTTGAACAGAATTTTCGATGCCAAATACTAATAATGTACAATAGAAATTATTGAACATTTATTCAGTTAATGTATGTACTTGTATATATTTCTTAGGGAAAAAACAGATGAAATACTCAACCAGCTATGTATATTATATCAGAGAATCAACTGGAAAGTAAAAATTTTCTAAAATCATCATTTTGTGAAACAATAGTATTATTCAAGAGCTAACGTATGTATTTCTATTAATAGCAAGCATAAGTAACTAACAGGTGAGTTCAACCAACACGACAGTTCAGTTGTACAGTTCATAGTAATAAATGATGGACGATAACTGAAAACTAATATTTATAACATTTATTCCAAAAACAGTGATTTTTATTAATTTATAACATAAAAACAGTGAGGATGAAATTGTTCCACAATTTGATTATCAACAATTTATACAAACATATCAACCGTAGCATTATATGCAAATTGAAGTATCCTTCTTAAATGAAACGAAGTTGCTTATAGTATAACATTATTTGATGAAACATGAACTGTGTAGCCCAGTGTTTCAAGCAACTTGTTTTCAACTAACAAGCCTAAACTCGGAACACCATTCCATCTATTTCTACTTCAGTAACCGCATAGAAACACTAGCCCATACATAAACAGTGTTAGTAATCAACACATTAACTTGCTTATGATAAATGAGTCCTATTTAAAGTTAATTGAAATTTCCGGTAGAAGTAGATTATCTAGTTAGAGTCCAGGCAATAACTGTGACCAGTGGATAGAAACGTTGGACGATATGGCTTGAAATCGGTCATTGGAGTAGATGCATTCATTTTAGATTCTAAGTCCTAATATTCTTTCACATATACCTTTTCATGATTCCTCATACCACGTTCTTAATGTTCAGTCTTTTTCATTACCGTTGCTATGACAATAATCCCGATTCTTTTGCTATTCCCCTTGTTAACTGAATTTTAGCCGTTCACAATACTTAAAAAACAAAGTTGTAATAGTTATACCCATTGTCTTCGTTAAATTTGGTTTCAAAGTGTCAGTAGTCTAATCGACTTCTTATTAAACAGATGTAATCCAGTTTCACCTAGAAACATTGAAATAAAATAATTTATTTTGATGTGACACCAATGGCCAGCCATTATCATTAATCCTCGAAAGTTAGATTATGACGTAACTCATCTACCGTACATTTGACTTCGAATCGCACTTTGAGTGTGGGGGAGGCTAATATTATTCATCCGGTTGTCAAAAACCGAAGGTATGGCAGGACTCGAACCTATGTCCCACTGGATGTAAGCCAAGTACTTTAACCAATATAAGCCGATGCTCTCCAAAAGCAGTTGTAAACAAATAAAAATGAATATATGTAACTTAATGTGAATAAGAAATGGTTTAAACCTAATATTCTTTACACAAGTTAATAATTATTCGAAAAGATTACTTACTGGAAGTTGTTTTTAACTTCTTTGGATCAGCATTTGTATCTTCTACTTTCTCAGTATTACTACTATTATTACTATCTCTACTTATGGAAGAATGAGGTTTAGACAGGCATCCACTAGCTAATAAAGGTAGTTTAGGTATTTTTTTCGAACAAAATTCATTTCTTTTTGAAATAGATAATTTTCGAGATGAGAGTCGTCTACCAGGTTTTAGTGAAGAAAACATTAAACGACGACGTCTAACAATTGGTGCTGTTGTAGTAATGTTGTCAGATGCTGTTTCAGTTGTTTGACTATGAATACTTTCTTCATCTTCATTTGCATCTTCTGTAGCAAAATATTTAAAGATTTCTTTGTCTTTTTCGTTAACATTTATTTCAGTGGAAACCAATGATCGATCATATTCACGTTTGGAATGTGATACAGTATTTTGATTTTTTAAGGTGGATTTTCGAGGTTCATGAACTATTGGGCTCAAAGAAGAACAAGATTGTGGACGGTCTTCATCTGTACCCCGACCCCATTCTATCACAGAACTACAAAAATAAAAAGAACATGTTGTAATGGATTTACTTAAGTGAAACAAGATATGAAGCCAAATAATCATCATGTAACGAATAAAAGTACAATTTGGCAACCCAAAATTAAATAAGTTGAAACAAAAGATGAACAAAATAATAATGGCGATAAAATAATACACAGAACATATCACAACACAGTCGAATATATGGCAACTAAACACTAAACTACTATAATTAAACTTGAGAAATATCAATTTAACCCTTAAGTGCCACAACTATTAACGTCACTAGGATGCGCATACACACATCCAAAGTATTGTTATTCTTTTTTGAATAAATTGCATTGTAGATCATATTAACCTTAGGGGCAACTAAACTTTGAATTCATATCTATTCAATTTTAACAGAAATCAAAAGATATATCAGTGATTTTAAAATTAAAGTAAAGAACTATAAAAAGCTTTAATATCATTAAAAATGCTAACTACATTCACAATTTCTTACATTATACGAGATCTAGGAACAACTTCATCATGCCGTGTATTCCAACCCATATAATGAACACGATATTGTATATCACCAACACCGGACCATGAAGCAGTTGATAGTGAATCAGCAGAATTTTCAGTCTTTAAACCACAAAGAGCTGGTTGAGGACGTAAATGCTTCAGAATTTTAGCTTCATAAGCAACATGATCACCACATCGAACTCGAACACGTGATCGGACAGGAATAATCTGAAACAGAATGCCAACAGAAACGTAAGGGAAAGTGGGACGTATTGTAAAATGTTCAAATAATTCAAACTTCCACTTTTGAAAAAAAGATGTGAACTACAATTCATCAACTACTATTTATAGCGTTGTGCATCAAACTAATAGCCATAATTATTAGTCAATGTAATTGGCACTGAAATCGCAACTTTAAGGTTAAAACGACCAAAAATCGATAAGAACTAACATACATCAGAATACAAAGAGCTCAAAAGTGAGCAACAGTGGACAAATAGATAATTCACTTTTTGAAGTGAGAAAACGAATTTCATGGACCTAATCTTTAATCCACTTCATTCAGCTTCCTTTAAAATCGCTTTAATTCAATCCAAAAATCCAGATCAATCAATTAGTTCTCTTTTTTTTAATATTTTCCATCGTTGGATTGAAACAAATAATTGATGTAGAAAACAACTTTCCGAGTTCTAAATTAAATTCCCTAATTTATTGATTCATAAACTGGAACTTCTTTTATACAATATTAAAACAGTAATTACATATCTTCAATATTATTATGTTATTCACCTCCAACAGTAAAAATTATACCAAGGAAATGCAATCATATTTAATGCACACATGATATGTGGGAAAAGATTAACACAAACAAAAAAGTAGACTTACGCAATTGGATAAATCTTCTACTCTGTCAACTGACTCTCTACCAAAATTTAACAATGGAAGATTTAGCATTGTATTATCATAGAATCTTTTACGACCTTTCAAAGGTGCTGATTTTGATGAACAATTGGACGAAGCTGAAGAAATAGGTTTATCCAAATCATCAGTTGTCGATACAAAATTGGACGATTTATCCATTCCTAATGATGATGATGATGGTGATGACGAAGTTGACTTTCGTATTGGTGTATTATGGTTAGCACCAGTATGCTCATCGTCGGATTGTTTAAAACGATCAACTATTAGTTGCTGCTAGATAACATGATAGTAAGAGAAATCGCAAATAAAAAGCATGATTGACAAAGGCATATATTTAAAGATTTTACGCGATAAAAGCAATTAAGATGGACACTTACAGACGCCTTATCAGAAGTTCGTTTTTTTATAGTTGTTGTTGTTATTGTGTTATCAATTGTGATAGTGGTAGCACTGCTGACAGTTCGGACATTTTTATTGATTTCAATACTTGAATTTTCCGCTGTTTCAGTAGCATTTATGTTAGAGTATTTTGATTCTGTTTCCACATTCCCCGAGTCAAGAGACTGTTTAGTCTGTGAAGTGTTGATAGAAACTGAGTTATTTGCATTAGTTCCGGTTGAATTGGCAGCTGAAACATTGGTATTTGAATTTTGTACTGAAGAAGGGTATCGTGGCCTGGATGGCGGAAGATCACAAAGATTTGTTCCCAACTTTTTACTGATATCATCCCATGGATATAAATATCTATATGGTAAAGAAGATGAGCAAATATTTTAGCAGGAATTTAAGTTTGAGCAATTACGTTTTTAGTTTGAATATCTGCAATATAATGTAACTCACCAAGAGCATATCTATGCAGTCAGATTCAAGGTGCATAGTTTGCGTGAGGACAAACGACACTACATGGCTCCTTACACTGAATTAGGCTCAGTTAAGTTCAAACCTGAAACTTACTGGTTGGAAGCCACGTTTTCAACTACTAATCCACTACTGGGTGGTTCGGTTTGAGTTCGAATACATAAATATAGTAGGGAGAAAAGACAGACAAGCCAATGTAGGGAAAATAAAGTTTAAGTTTGTGTATTAGATTCTTAAACAAGTAATAATCCCAATAATATAATTATGATCAGAGTGGGGGGTGTGGAGATTGTAGTAATTTTAATGGTTGAATTTATGAGTCGATATAAGCTAGACCATACTAGGACGAAACGGCCATCCGGTGCTTGCAGGTTTTCAATGGTGGTCTAACTTACATCGACTCATGAATTAAACTATTAATAATATAATTAACAAGAAATAAAGCAGGGTAATTATCAATACTATTAACTTACTTCTTAAAAGCAGCTTGCAAGTTTCGTGGACCAGCACTGAAGTTTTGAGGCAAATCCATTTTTGAGTAAACATAACCCCACTTAAGTTGTGATGAAACACGATGAAAGCCACCAAGTTTATGAACCAGCTAAAGGAACAATGTCCAGTAAAAACAACGGTAATATAAGGAAAAAATACTGAAGTTTAGAAAAACATTAAATAATAGAATGAATATATATATATTTCGGCATTTGACTCTGTTGATCGTGAGGTTCTATGGCAGTGTTTGTCACTGAAAGGAGTACCAAAAAAGTACATTAACCCTGTAGAGGCTCTCTACTCGAACACAACTGGTTAAGTGAGAGCTTATGGAGAACTGTCATCAGAATTGATTACATCAAGTGGCGCTCGTCAGGGCTGTCAACTCTCTCCATTCTTGTTTAACTTTATCGTTGACGTGCTTTCAGAGATGACACTTTCCTCATTTAAATTTCCAGGGGTTGAACTTCTACCGGGAGATTCACTTTTTGATCTAGAGTATGCCGATGACATAGTTCTATTTGGTGAAGATGCTGACAAAATGCAGAGTCTTCTGACCACTATAAGCAATAATGCAAGCATCTTCGGGATGCGATTCTCTCCCTCGAAATGTAAAATGTTGCTTCTGGATTGAGTTGCATTGACACCCGAAATAATGATAGGGAGTGAAGTAGTTGAGCGTGTCGATCGCTTCACTTATCTTGGAAGTCTCATCAGCCCTTGTGGTCTGGTGTGTGACGAAATCTCAGCACGAATACAGAAGGCTAGACTAGCTTTTGCCAACTTGCGTCATTTATGGCGTAGGCGAGATATCCGTCTATCAACCAAAGGAGCGGTTTACTGCGCAGCAGGTCGTTCTGTCCTATCTCACGACAGTGAAATATGGCCGGTAAGAGTAGAGGATATTCGTAGGTTACTAGTATTCGATCATAGGTGTCTTCGAACACATTGCTCGTATATCCTGGAACCATCGAGTAAGTAACACAGTTGTTAGGAAATGGGTACTAGGTATGGATGGCAAATCCATTGATGAGGTAGTGAAACTTCATCAGTTGAGATGGCTGGGACACGTGTTACGTATGCCCAACCACCGACTGCCTCGACGTGTGATATTTTCTGGTGTAGGAGTAGGTTGAAAGAAAACTAGGGGCGGCCAGACCAAAACATGGCACAAGTCCATAAAGTCACTGACAAGTGGACTGAGTCATGTTGGTAGATATGGACTACCTGGTTGGGATCCGCGAGACGATAGCAACCGATAGTTAGAGACCTTGAATGACATGGCTCAAAATCATTTGGAATGGCGCGGGTGCATCCACTCTTTGTGTTCTCCCAAATTCTAATCTGAATTTATCATGTCCCTTTTTTCCTCTTTCCAAATTTATTTCACTGGATTATACTCCTTGAATAACATCTTCAAACCCTGATGTTTCCGATTACTGCTTATACTCTTACTACCTCTACAACTGCGGGATTTGAATCGACAACTGCATCTCTGTGCGAATGTGGTATGGCAACTCGAACTGATGTACGTACTTACGAAGTTTATATATATATATATACTCCGTTTCGAGTGACATAAGTTCCGTAGGAGATAATAATCACTCCATCATCATCAACGTAGAACCTGCCAAAAATATGTTGCACTTTTATATATTTGTATGCCTCAATAATACATGAGATATTGAGAGAGTAATTTTATTTGTTATCGATCCATTTATTATCAGTGCAATCGGTTATTATTATATAAATTCACTCCATCAAATAAAACGAAATGAATGCACAAACATTAATGAAATTCATGGATAATGGAATGCAATAAAAATAACTAGCTAATTAAAAAAGTACAACTGTATTTATCTAACAATTAAGATAACTTATACTGACGCTAAACATAATTTTTTATTTATTTATCTGAACACATAAATATTGGTACAAGAGGGCGCCAATATATATGCGCAACACAAAACAATGAGAATTCGAAGAGAAAGAAAAAAAGGTAAGGAGCGTAAAAAAAAGAGAACAATAACGAGGAGGTTGGCGTAAGGTAGTGTAGTAATAATAATGGTAATAATGAGGGAATGGGAAGGCACAACCAGAAGAAATCTTTCAGTTAAGAAAGATACAACCACTTTTTATGAAGAAAGTAAAAGAAGGTTACAGCAGGATCGCCACTGGCTTCTATTCTGAGCCATATCTGATAACGTCTCTAGCCACTGTGTAGCACCATCTCTCAGACCCCAACCAGGGAGTCGTGAAGGACCGACAGAAGCCAGTCCTTTGCAGCTTTCTTTCATGCCACGACACCATGTCATGCACTGATCACCTCTCCGCTTCTTCCAACCAGTCCCAGAGTCGGCAAATAATGCACGACGTGGAATTCTCTGGGACGACATTCGTAGAACATGTCCAAGCCACCGAAGTCGATGTTTCAAGATGGTGACATCGATTGCATTATCATCTCTGCGCCCGAACACACGATGCCGAACATCTGCAATAATAACATGATGTTGCCACTAGATGTCAGCAAACCTTCGGAGACAACGAAGATCAAACACAGAGAGTCGTCTAACATCCTCAACTCGGAGAGGCCAGGTTTCACAAGCATAGAGCGAAACGGCTCTCACCGACGCGTTGTAGATCCGACCTTTTACAGCCAGACTAACATCACGAAGGCGCCAAAGGTGGCCCAGATTGGCATAAGCCGCTCTGGCTTTCACTATACATGCATTGATCTCATCACTCACGCCACCACCAGCACTACCTAGATACGCGAATTTCTTGACTACTTCTATCTGCTCACCATCAACGGTGAGTACAGGAATAGAATCTTATCAGTCTTGTAGAAGTACTTTGCACTTCGAAGGTGCAAAGCACATACCATACATACGGACACTGATTGCCAACTGATTAAGTGCGGATTGCATGGCTTGGGCATTATCGCACAGTAAGACAATATCATCCGCATACTCAAGGTCGAGAAGTCTTTCTCCAAGCAACAGATCCACACCACCATTACTTACATTCATCAGAGCTGTTTCCAGAATGTCATCGATGGCAAAGTTGAAGAGGAATGGTGAGATTGGGCAACCCTGTCTAACCTCACTACTCGAATGGAACAATGGAGAAAGGTGGTTGTATGCCCTCACTCTGCCTGAGGTGTTTGTATATAGGGCTTTTAAGATGTTAATAAACTTCTCAAGCACACCCTTCTTCAATAGACAATCCTAGAGAACAGTCCTATCCAGCGAATCGAAAGCAGCCCTGATGTCAAGAAACACTACGATTGTTGGCCTTTGATAAGTATGGCGGTGTTCTAACATTTGGCGGAGGGTGAAGATATGATCAATACATCCTCGACCAGAACGAAGCCCAGCCTGCTCCTCGCGAGTCAATCTTTCTCGGGTTTTGAACAACCTACGAAGTATGACGGAAGTCAATAGCTTGGACGCAATCGGAAGTAGACTTATCCCCCGATAGTTGTTACAGGAACGACGTGAACCCTTTTTAAAGATAGGGACAACTATCGACTCATTCCATTACATTGGTACACTCTCTAGTTCTCACACCTTTGTAAACGTCATCAATTCTTAGTCAGAACGTCACCACCATCTTTAAAAAGAGCCGGAGGTAAGTCATCTGGGCCAGGTGGTTTGTAACGCTTCAAGAGTTGGAGTTCCTTGCGGACGTCCGCCTCATTTGGTGGATCAGTCGTCACCGGCCATGGAGAGCAGGACAGACTGACCGATGTTGCCGGAGCAGCAGGCCAGTTGAACTGACCTTCGAAAAATTCAGCCCATTGTCCAAGACGTCGATGGATCTTAGTGATTGGCATCCCATCATCCTCGTAGATTGTTTCGCTCACACCAGACTTCTAGCTACCAGTGGCTCGGATGAGTTGGAAGAGCTTCCGGTAATTACCAGATGTAGCTGTTGCTTCCAACTCATTAGCACGCTCCGACCACCAGGCTTCTCGGTCCTTACGCAAGCTTTGCCCGATTTCCTTACGTAACATCCTTCGTTTGTGGTCAAACTCACGGTCACATAGGGTAGACTGACGGGCTTCGATGAGTTGTAAGGAGCCTGAAGAAACACAGTGCTTATAAGCGGGACGTCTCGCGAACCCACAACTGACTGTACCGCCATTTTCATGGCGTCATGCAATTGCAACCAATGCTCATCTATACTTTTCGGTGGAATGGTAGCTAGCCTAAAAACTAGCTCGGTTCGATACTTACTTGCAATAAAAGTTTCAACCAGCTTACTAACATCAATCCGTTGGTGGCGGTCACTTCGTTGTCCACTGAAAAGTAAGGCAAGATTGGCGCAGACCAAGGCATGGTCAGAGTCCAGATAGGTACTCCAAAAGGAGCGGCAGTCTTGTACACAACCACGCCAGCGGTAGCTGATCGCGATGTGATCAATCTGAGTCCAGGCTTGAGATGCAGAGGGAGGACGCCAGGTGGCACATCGGCGATGACTGTGCCGAAAGTTAGTGCTAGCCAGAAACAGATTGTAGTCTGTGCACAGTTGCAGTAGACGGTCCCCGTTATCTGTCCTGCGACCAACGAGTCCCCATCGGCCACCTAAACGACTCTCTTCTGTGCCTAGACGCCCGACCTGAGCATTCAAGTCTCCGGCTAGTACTACAATATCTGTCGAACGCACTTTCTGGAGAAGAACTGATAACTGGTGGTAAAACCCATTCTTGATTGCATCCGGGCTGCAATCTGTCGTGGCATAGGTGGAGATGACGAAAAGACATCGTTTCTCACGCCGATTTCTTCTCACTTTGATGGAACTTTCTAATCTAACAGCACATAACCGACTGTTAATGGGGATCCAATCGACTAGTGCTGCCTCAGCTCTAGCGCTTAGTGCGACACCAACGCCAGCAAGACCAGACGAAGATGCCACAGGGTCCCCGGATAAGCGCACGTAAAACAAGCTTTTCGAAGTGACAGATGGAGATCGAATTTGTAGTACTTCACCAGAGTCTTGAATACGGGTCTCGGATAGAAAGCAGACATCGATATGAAGACTTTCCAAAGACATAGCCAACCCTATCTGTTGTCCAACCTGCATAAGTGTACGAACGTTGAAGGCAGCCAGTTTTAATGGTGCACGTGGTTTCAGAAAAACTGTTTCAGTACTCATATTCAGTGGTAACATACAATTTTCAACCGGACAGTGACTCGAGAACGTTTAGATACAGTCGAATTTCCACCAAAGACGAGCCGCTGTATAAGTATAAAAGAGGGTGAATAATGTCGTAGTAAATAATAATAATAATAATAATAATAATAATAATAATAATAATAATAATAATAATAATAATAATAATAATAATAATAATAATAATAATAATGATAATAATAATAATAATAATAATAATAGTTTGATTGTTATTCGAAGCGAGAAAAGTAGTTTTCATAGATATAGAGAGTTCATCATTTGCGTGTGGGCCGCGATACTGCCCGGGTGCCCAGACCGAAGCAGGTGGTTATCTTAGGGGGCCACTCCCCGAACCTTTGATCTAAAGGTCTAACCCACAAGGCAGTGGAGCATCGTAAGGAGATGCAGTCCCATGGTAGCCGGTGACCAACGATTGGTTCATACGCCATTTGTTCCCGCAGGATACTGGAGCCCATGTGCACCATTGGTTTGGGATCCGGTTAAAGCGCCGGATATTCGCTTTTCGTCTTCTCATTTTCGTAAACAACATCATTGACACGAGAAGGCAATGAGTAGGACTTCCCTGGAAGAGGCTGTATACGCGTGGCCGTGTGAGAGTATTTTGAGAGGGAGAGCGGACTCTCCCCACTCTCGACCTTACCAGGGCATATTAATATGAAGATAGATTGAAGTAATAGTAATAATAATAATGACAATAATAATAGTAATGATTTGAAATAGACTCACTTTATAAAGTTTATATAAATCTAAATCCTTATTGGCTAAACTAGGTGCTTTGTTGATTGGAGTGCCACGTTCATCCATAAATCGATACAGTTGAGCAATCCATCTATCACGTGCTTCGAATTCAGCTACCGACGATGTTGATGAATTATCTGATGAATTGTATGATCTACTGGTACCACTATTATCACTGCTACTATTACTACTGCTGTTGATACTACTACTACTACTATTCAGACTACTACTAATGCTACTAGGTGTACTGACAGTAGATACAGTTATATTGCTGCTAGTTGATGAACTTATTGATCCGGTGTCAGTATCCGACTCTGAAGAATTTGCCGAGGCTTCATTAGAACTTACTGAATCAAATAAATCCCCACCGGAAATAGGATTTTTTTCATATTTTGAGCTTGTAGTTGACTTATGACGTCTGTCAGTGCCTTTCTTGATAACCTTATAATTAGCAGTAGATTGTTTTGAGGATTCCGTGCGAAATGATTCGTTTGAAGAGACGTCACTTCGTCGTTTTTCAGCCTTAGTCGGACGTATAATATGTCCCTTAAATCTTTTCATTTTTAAGCGTGAACTTGACCGGGAAACTTGGGTTTTATCTGATTGTCTTGGTCGTTTGCGAGTAGAATGTTCAAGTTGTTTAGTTGGTCTGCCACGTGATTTTTGGATTAAACCTCGGCAAGTATTTGGAGATTGTGAGGCTTCAGAAGATGATGACGATGAAGCACGTGTATGCTTTAAGCTTAAAGGACTAGAATTTATTGAACCTGTGAAATCTGAAGCCGCTTGCCTGGAACGACGTCTTGAATATCGCCAGTTTTTTGTGCCTAACATTGTTTGCACAGCATTTTCACCCCAAGAAACTGGAAATTCATGTCGATCCAACCACAGAAGTGCACGCTCAAAAGCTGGACGTAGTGCTGGATAAGTGTGAGCAAGTTCAACTGCATCAGGTCTTTTCAGTCGTTTAACAAATGTAACAGGAACTGCTAGAAACCTGTTATCTTTAAACGAACGGACCAAAAGTTTGTAACACTTGTGTGTTTTATCAATACTTGAAAAACTTCCTAGGTCAATACTTGGCATAGCAGATGGAAGAACAACAACAGCTGGGGTGAATCGACGTCGAGGTGTTACCCCAGGACTCTTGCAGGCCGGAGTAGACGATCCATACGAGGGAGAGCCAAAGCCATCTACAAAAGAATATGTGAAAATATATCAATCAATGTGCGAAAAGAAATCTTCAAATACTAATATATAAATATATTGTATTCACCACAGGTTAGTCTCACTTGGATAACAATTAGAACTAAGGAGCAATAGATAGCTATTTCTTTCTAGTACGTGACTCATTAGAGGTGAGCACCAATGACCTCATTAGGGATCAAACCCAGGAACACCAGGTTCGGTGGCGAACGCTTAAGCAGAACGAGTAGGTCGAAGTCCAGTAGTATAATTTCGGCTTCAATCAATTTACAATGGGGCTTGCAAATCGACCTTATCACCAAAAAACCCCTTCAGCTACAAAAAATTGCCAGCTCACTGGTGACCTCCTCTCAAGAAGTTCCTGAAGTTCTGATGAAAAAGCGTGATTGATGTTGTTTAGACATGTTAGACGTGAAACACGTACCACTAGTGGCATCGGTTGATTATCATACTGTATCGTAAATTGATTGAATTTGGAACTGTATGGTTGCATGGTGACTCAGTGATTTAATAGTTAACTGTTTGTCGCAAGACCTAAAGGCTCTGAGTTCGATCCTTTGAGGAGGTTTCAGTGGACAGTGTTGCAGAGTCCCGTGGTGGGAGTAAACGGCCATGCAATGGTCTTTATTTTTCAAAAGTAGCCTAACTCCAATCAATCTGTGATATACACAACCTACAAAATAGACTAATTTCTATAAAACCCCATCAACTAAAATATAACTTACCTTTCCCTGTTAGCGGCATATCAACCATGACTAAACGCCCGAGTAAACGACAATAACTAGCAGGTAAATGCTTTAAATCAGTCGCTCCCATATTTGATACATTGGTATTAGCTTCTGATGATCGAGTCCTGCCTTCATCATTATGTTCTGTTATATTTGAGCAATTTGGATCGAAATCATCTACATCATCGCGATCTGTCAATTTATCTGGATTTCCATTAGGTTGGTACGAAATAGTTTGATTAAAATCTTTAATCCCACTTCTTTCATCTACATCTTCAGTTTCGATTTCATCCATGTTCTCATCTAAGATGCTACTGCTACCATCTTCACTGTTATTAAGTAGGAAGAAAGATAATTCTCATTAAACAAAAATTGAGTTGTTTTTAAAGAGATTGTAAAGAAACAAAAAAGTAACTGTATTACAGTTAATGTCAAATGATAAACTTTGATATAATTGTTGAGAAAATATCACTGAAATAATATAATTCAAGCTAAATGAACAATATTCTACCCTTATTGAATTACGACGACTACCAACATTCCCTTCTGCAATCCCAAATATTAAGCCATCAATCAAAAAATATGTACATGATTGTTTCAACGACCCAAATCAAAACCTGAACACTTATGTATTGTGTATACAAATATACACGATTTAAGTTGTGTATTTTAATATAAACTAATAGAAGATACTCAAGTATGAAGGGGGAAATATCATTAAAATTAATCCAAAACAGTAGAGATAATAAAATATTAACCAACACCACATCAATATATGTGGAGAGTGATTTAATAGACATTCAGATGTTTGCCAGTCAATCAACGTAAAGCCGTGAACAAAAATGAGTTGGCCCGAGTTCCCGTATAACGTTAGCACGATGAAATTAACAGGATGAATAGCAAAACAGATAGATAATGTAGCGAAAATAACAGTGAGAAAAAGTGAATATTGAGAATATGGTTCGAAAGGACAGAAGTAAAAGATATATATGAAGGAACACTGAAGCTTAAGATCTAGATAAAGATAAATATTGAATGCAACTACACTGTGACCGATTCTGAACCACATCAACCGACGTTTCCAGCTACTGGTCACAACTATTGTGTAAACCTCGACCGAGTAGTCCGCATCTACTAACATGGCTCACACCAACAGCCAAAGATTTCTTGGACGAACATCATGTTTTGGTTTGGCCACCCCTGGCTTGCTTTCAACATACTTTCACATCAATGAACGAAAACAGGTTGGAAAAAACCCAGAAGCGGCTAAATCATCCATGACGTTAATGACTGTTGGTATGAACAATGTTGGCGGACTACTTTGCATTTATTGTACCCCTCACTCCTTTTTTTCTACTTTATTTTGCTAGTTGATCTTTTTGTTTCTCAATTTATACAACCAATGATGCGGTCTAATGTTCACTAACTGTAATGGAAGGGGGAGACTATACTTTGTTTACGACTGCTGTAGGCTTTTTACACCAAAAAGACGGCACATGTCCTAACTAGTTAACGGATATGAAGAAGACGTAACCAATGGAATTCAATGGTGCCACCGATCGCAAACGACAGTTGTTGTGCTGTAATATTGCGAATTAACTAGGGTTGAAAATGTAGACAATTAAAAAACGAATCTATTTAAAAGAGATATCGCGATGGCCATGAGACGTGAAGGTCCTAAGATTTGACTACATGTAACGACGCCGTGAGTGTAATCCGAATGAGAGCAGTCAACTGAAGGCAGAACAGCTGTCCAACGATACATCCTTATTTTCAACGGTTCTCTAGATGGTGTCGATTCATGACGAGAATTTTACACAAAATTATACATAATAATAATAATAATAATAATAATAATAATAATAATAATAATAATAATAATAAAGTACTCTTTTACCCAGATCTATATTTCCTTCTCTGATCTATAACTGGTTGCCTGAATTGTTCCGGATTAGTTAAAGGTAAACAATCCAAACTCTGAAATGAACAAGAAATTTTACAAAACTTGCTGTATAATTCATTATAAATGAAAAACAAAAAGCAAATAAGATAACTAAATTTCATGTGAAAAAATAATTTTACTAATTTCTAATAAGTGAATAATTCATAAATTTACAAGTTACTGAAATGAGAATCGTTTGAGAAGAGTAAACAAAAAAAGACGATCTGTTCTTTACGGTATGAATTAGTTCACATTCAAAAAGTTTTTAAAGAAATAACATGTTTACGAATGAAAAAAAGAAGTATTTAATATGCATTAAGTTAAGCAAATTTAGTTTAATTTTAACAAATAAAAAAATCTTTTGTTGATGACGGTGATGATGATAAAATAATATTTCGCAGTAATAAAAGAAATCAAGACACTAAAAACAATAATAAGTATTAGCCAAGAGAATTGACATTATTGGACGGAAATGTTATGTTCACTTGTCTTCAAGTTCAAAGAGCACAACACCTCTAAAATTCTTATTCTTAGTCAGAAATATCAACTCTAACAGACATTATGAAAGTATACATTTTATTCTTTCGCTGAATCCAAGTTTAAAATATAACACTGGATTAGAGTTTCTACTGATCATTTTAAATCCTCCGAAATATTACGAAGAGATAAATATGTTAGATTCACTTGTAGAGAAGGTTTAATTGTGTTTAGCAACCTATGTAATAAATTTATCATTTGCATTGATTATTGAAGTGTGGGCATAAATACAAAAGATTTGACACCTGTGAGGTATGTTTGATTCTAAAATATTCAAACCTTCAACATCATAATGTAATATTGAAGTGACATACAAAGCTAGAACACAGGTAACATGAAACGATTATATATGGTACAAAAACGCTTTCCCAACACCTGCTCAAAACTCCCCATGATTCATCTGAATGTATACTGTTGCTTCCCTAGTGACCTTCAAATCCTAAACGTAGGGAGTTAAATAGTTGAGTGCCTTCACCACTTTATTCCAATTGGAAATCTTATCAACCCTAATGGGCTAGTGATAGACGCAACCTCGGAAGGAAAACAGAAAAGTCGCCTAGTATTCACTAGCCTGCACCACAGGTGGAGCAGACGAGATACACATCCGCCAACTAAGGAACAAGTATATTACGCGACAGTCGGCTATGTATTCTTGCATGTCTGCAAAACTGTCAGGGATGCTCTATAGCCCCAGATACGGAAAATCATTCTTAAGATTCTCATATAGATTTTGAGGCAATTTTTGTTTGACTTTCAAAGCATTCTGTCCGCTGACCTTCAACATGCCTTTACTCGTGTCGATCAATGCAATTTTTCTTTTATTGATCAATTCAACAGTATTTTTGTCTTTACTGACAAGTGATCAATTTGATAAAATTCTGTAATGAATAATCATCAGATTATCGATATATAACTGAATTAAGTTGAATGCAAACTGATTCTTCTGATGTCTCTAATAAGAAAGCTTCCATATGAGCTTCGACTTCTCACTCTATTTAGTGGGCAGGGAAAAACCAAATAGAAGCAGTCTTGTTCACCATATTGAAGTTGGAATTTTGGATAATTAATGGTGTATAAACGTATCCAAAAATAGACCTATTAAAGTAGAAGACATACTTCAAAGCACTGTTCATATGTAGTATAACTATTAAGTAATCCTGAGGTTAACCGTAAGTTTTCTGTAGAAACGATAAGTCGATTGATGAGATGTTTAACGCAGACATAGGTGGTTGGATAATATATTACATGTTCTTAGCTGTTACTTTTAATTATTCACGACGCTAGTTGGATGAGAGTAGGTTGGCAGAAAGATAGAAGAGGCTAAGCAAAGACTTGGAACCAGTTCATGAATTTACTGACCGCTGGACTGTGCCATGTCGGAGGGTGTAGACTTCTAGACTGAGGCATGCACAGCAACTATCATCTTTAGCTGGAGATGTTAGACGATATGGTCAACAATCAAGTACACTGAAGCAGTTGCATTTATTCCTGTTTAGTGGCACTGCGTACTTTTGATTCCTTTATATTGTTCGTTCACTTTACACTGTTTATTTTTCATTTATTCTTATTACTCTCCTATCCTCTTAAACTACCTTCCTCTATGTGAGTTTTGGTAAATTAAGTTTATGCCAGCTTCAATGTTGTCTATGAGTAACTGATTGATATAGTCCCTAAATATTGGTATTACGAAAGTGCTGTGTGGAAATGTAATGGAAGAATATATCAGTTGAAAAGATTTTAAAACTGAGTTAAATACGTCATCAACATATTTGAAACGGCTGTTTGCCTTACTCTAGCAAAATTAATTAGTATCATCAGGGCTAAATCTGCTTTCTATTCCATAATCTAATTATCCCCTCCTTACTTACTTACTTACTTACGCCTGTTACTCCCAATGGAGCATAGGCCGCTGACCAGCATTCTCCAACCCACTCTGTCCTGGGCCTTCTTTTCTAGTTCCATCCAATTCTTGTTCATTTTTCTCATGTCTATCTCCATTTCTCGGCGTAATGTGTTCTTTGGTCTTCCTCTTTTCCTTTGACCTTCAGGATTCCATGTGAGGGCTTGTCTTGTGACGCAGTTGGGTGCTTTCCTCAATGTGTGTCCTATCCACTTCCAGCGCTTCTTCCTGATTTCTTCCTCCACTGGGATCTGGTTTGTTCTCTCCCACAGTAGGTTGTTGCTAATAGTGTCCGGCCAATGGATCTGAAGTATTTTGCGTAGACAATTGTTAATAAACACTTGTATTTTCTGGATGATGGCTTTTGTAGTTCTCCAGGTTTCTGCCCCATACAGTAGAACTGTCTTGACATTTGTATTGAAAATCCTGACCTTGGTGTTGGTTGACAGTTGCTTTGACTTCCAGATGTTCCTCAGTTGTAAATATGCTGCTCTTGCTTTGCCGATCCGCGCCTTCACATCTGCATCAGATCCACCCTGTTCATCAATGATGCTGCCCAAATACGTAAAGGTTTTTACATCTTCCAAATCTTCTCCGTCAATTGTGATTGGATCGGTGCATTCTGTGTTGTATCGGAGAATCCTGCTTTTCCCTTTGTGTATATTGAGACCTATTGCTGCTGAGGCTGCTGCCACACTGTTTGTCTTCTGGAGTCCCTCTGGGGGCTACTGCCGGTCCCAAGCCCGGATAAAGGAGGAGGGTTGGGCATGGGGTTAGCGTCCCCATCCCGTAGAAAAACAACTCGCTAAAAAAACGCTAACCAGAAAAAAAAATTATTCAAAATTATCCCCTCCTTACTTTTAGCTTAATGATGACTACAACCGAGAAAATATTCTTGCTATAATTCGTTATCAAGCAAACTATGTTTACAGTTATTTGGTTACATTCACTTCTATTATGTATTGCTTCATTTATCTATTATCATCTATTCCCCTTTTGTGTATTTCTTTATTTACCAATCCACAAAGCAGCCCATCCATTGAGAAAGTCCTGTCCTGTCTAAACGATCTCCACCCACTAACTGGTCAGAATTTGGAACGCTTCTTCTACTGAATACAATTCTCGTCATAGCTTTTCTGAAACAACGTATGTCATTCAAACTGGCCTCCTTCAACGTTCGCGCAGTGATGTAGACCAAATAATGGATAAGTTTGGATGTGCTTTTGGAAAGTCTTGAAATCAATTCTGCTATATATCTGAGACCCGTATTCAAGACTCTAGTGAAGTACCACACATTTGTTCTATATCTGTTATTTACTTGAACATATAAACATTGGTAAAAAGCAGCACCAAATACATATGAATCATACAATAACAATGAAGTTGTGAAGAGACAATGTCAAGTGTATATAATACAAAAGAACAACAATGAACAGAAATTAGTGCACGAGGGTGAAATAATAATAATAATAATAAATAGTAATAATAATAATGAGAGAAACAGTTCAGTTAGCAAAAACACAGTCAGAAATAATTCTTTCAGTTAAACAAGTTGTTCTCACTTTTATGAAGAGAAAGAAAGTCACAGAAGGATCACCACTGTCTTCTATTCTGTGTCGTGTCTGATAACGTCTCTAGGCACAGTGTTGCACCATCTCTAGAACCCTAACCAGGAGATCGTGAAGGACCAACAGGAGCCAGTTTTCTTCAACCTTCTATCATAACACGATACCATGTCGTACACTGACCACCTCTTCGATTTCTCCAACCGGTCCTGGCGTCGGCAAATAATGCACGAAGTGGAACTCTTTTGGACGAATTGTCATCGCCGTGTCCGAACACGCGATGCCGGACCTCTGCATTACTAACATGGTGTTGCCACTGGATGTCAGCAATCCTTCGGAGACAACGATATTCAAACACACAGACTCGTTGTAGATCCGACCTTTTACAGCCAGACTAACATCACGAAGGCTCCAAATATGGCCCAGATCGGCATAAGCCGCTCTGGCTTTCATTATACGTTGTGGAGGCCCGTTATTTATTCGTCATTTAGATCGGACGATGTTGTCGAAAGGGCTCTCCACTTTAGTGGCCCGGAATCTGACTTCAATTAAATCGTATGAATGTTTGTTATCGCCTATCCTCGTATATAATCATCGACTCAAATCGCGTTAGTCAATAATGGAATTAAATAAGCCGAATAACGAGAATGGACTTGTGAATACATACATTTTGTATATAAAGCGAATGGATGGTAGGCCAACTCCCATTTAACCAAGCGTTAATCAATATTTATAGTTATACAAAAGTAAGTTACAGACATGTGATGAGTAATGGGGAACATTTGCGGGCTGTTGAGTCAATTTTAGTACACCACTATACTTATTTTAGACTGACAAGTATTATTTCTTAATATTAGGGCCATCTTCGATTCGTTGGACAGGACTTTTTCTGAAATTTCCTGTTGTAGAATCGTGTACCTAATAATTTTAACATCTTTAAGCCACTGTATAAAAACATCAGGTGCATAATGATAGCATACAACAACCTCTCCTAAATGCCAACCAACACCAAGATCAGAATTTTCAATACAAATGTCAAGACAGTCCTACTGTCCACTGGGGCGGAAACTTGAAGAACCACTAAAGACATCATCCAGAAGATACAAGTGTTTATTAAGTTTTCTACGTAAAATACTTCGGATCCGTTGGCCAGTCACTATCAGCAACAACCTACTGTGGGAGAAAACAAGCCAGATCTCAGTAGAGGAAGAAATCAGGAAGAAGCAGTGGAAGTGGATAGGACACACATTGAGGAAAGCACCCAACTGTGTCACAAGGCAAGCCCTCACATGGAATCCTCAAGGCCAAAGGAAAAGAGGAAGACCAAAGAACACATTGCGTCGAGAAATGGAGACAGACATGAGAAGAATGAACAACAATCGGATAGAAATAGGAAGGAAGGCTTAGGACAGTGTGTGTTGGAGAACGCTGGTCGGCTGCCTATGTTCCATTGGAAATAACAGGATTAAGTAAGTAAATGAGTAATCCAGTTTATGATGAGGCGCCGAGATATGAAAGAAGGCTGTATATAAAATGTCAACTGTCGGTCTATCACAACCCCCTAATTGAGGTCCGAGAGATAGTCCAACTCAATAGCTTGAGACGTTATCAAACAGAACAGAAACCATTGACGATCCTACTGTAATTTTTTCTACTTCCTAGTAAAAGAGAAAGGAACTCCTTAGACTGAAGGGATCCTTTCTGGTTTTACTTTTCTTAACTTAACTGCTTCTTCTATTACATACCACTCTCGTCCACATATCTTTATTCATTTATTGTTTTCGATTTTACTAGCCCTCCTCCTACCTCTTCATGATTTCATTTTATTATTGTGCGGTGTATATTTATTTTGGTGGCCTTTTGTATCAATATTTACATGTTTAACTAAAGTAAAGACAGTTTTAGTTTGTGTTATGCAGTTAAATTCTTAGTATGACCTACTTTTAACTCCCCTTTTTTGTGAGGATAAAAATAGCATAAAAATGGACATCCAAATATCTTACTAAAGAAGAATATCGCTTAAACAGAAAATCAACGAAAATGGTGAGAAATCAAGGTAGTACTACTTAAAGCAATGAATTTCCAGTAATACAGTTATTCTCATATAATAACATATTATTATTTGTCATTTAACATTGGATTGCACAATATTTTTATTTACTTGTTTATTTGAACACATAAATATTGGTACAAGGGGGCACTAAATATATATGCGCCACACAAAACAATGAGAATGGGAAGAAAAAATGACAAGGAGCGTAAAAGAAAAAAAGGAGAAGAGGAACGATAACGACCACATTGGTGTAAGGAAGTGTAACAATTATTAATAATAATAATAATAATAATAATAATAATAATAATAATAATAATAATAATAACAATATTAATGGGGGGAACGGAAAGGCACAACCAGAAGAAATCTTTCAGTTAAGGACCAACAGAACCCAACCCTTTGCAGATTTCTCTCATACCACGACACCATGTCATACACTGATCACCTCTCCGCTTCTTCCAACCAGTCCCAGCACCGGCAAATAATGCACGACGTGGAATTCTCTGGGACGACATTCGTAGAACATGTCCAAGCCACCGAAGTCGATGTTTCAAGATGGTGACATCGATTGAATTATCATCTCTGCGCCCGAACACACGATGCCGAACCTATGCATTACTGACATAGTGTTGCCACTGAATGTCAGCAATCCTTCGGAGACAACGAAGATCAAACACAGAGAGTCGTCTAACATCCTCAACTCGGAGAGGCCAGGTTTCACAAGCATAGAGCGAAACGGCTCTCACCGACGCGTTGTAGATCCGACCTTTTACAGCCAGACTAACATCACGAAGGCGCCAAAGGTGGCCCAGATTGGCATAAGCCGCTCAGGCTTTCACTATACGTGCATTTATCTCATCACTCACACCCCCACCAGCACTTATGCAGCTACCTAGATACACGAACTTCTTGACTACTTCTATCTGCTCACCATCCACGGTGAGTACAGGATTAGAATCCTGCCGGTCTTGTAGACGTACTTTGCACTTCGAAGGTGCAAAGCACATACCATACATACGGACACTGATTGCCAACTGATTAAGTGCGGATCGCGTGTCTTGGGGATTATCGCACAGTAAGACAATATCATCCGCATACTCAAGGTCGAGAAGTCTTTCTCCGTGCAACAGAACCACACCGCCATTACTTACATCCATCAGAGCTGTTTCCAGAATGTCATCGATGGATTGCACAATAACAGATGTCCGATTACGAAATTCGATTCAATCCATTCAATAAATTAACAAGAAAAATATTTAGAAAAAAGTCACTCAAAATGAGTACATATTCACATACTTCACTCTCCTTAAAGTGACGTTCACCTTTTATGACAAGTTGAGTACGTCTTAAAGTTCGTTTATCACCATCATCAAAAACTAAACAGTAAAAAAAATGAAAACATTTTGGATCCAAGTGATGTTTGACAATCATTGAATTCTAATTGAAATATTATCTGATCATTATGAACAATACAGTTAAAGTTTACAAAATCATTTACATTACAGTTTGTTCGAGAGAAATTCCTCCACAATTAAATAACAAACGAGAATGACCTTTATAAGTGTACACATATCCTGGAGTTTTTAAGTAGCATTACCTTGGATAGATAAATCCTCAACAACCACGTAAAAGTTGGTCTACAAGATGGTTATACCTAGTTTGAGAGTCAAAGATACTATCACAAGTCCCAGATTTTAGCAGATAAAGGTTCGGATATGCGACCCTACATATAAGTTAAACGATTAAATCAACCAGGTAAAACATTAAAAATTCAATGCAACTTTTGGATCTCGTTGAAAAGTTCCTAGGTTTATAACTTGAGTGCTGAGATGGATGGGATCCGTCTTTATATGACTAGAGTCAAACTAATATATACCCATTTTTACCAACAGTCAGCCGTCAGTCAGCCACAACGTAGGACCAGGAACATATATGCATCGGTCCAAGTTGCCATACCGCAATTAGCACAGCAAGATGAACACCGGATTTATAGTAGTTACTTCAATTGGGGTGATATATAGAAGAAAAATTGCATATAAAAGTATAGTACAGGAAGAAAGAATTAGTTCGTAGAAGGAAAGATATGAAGTGATTTTAATCTCTTAGTTTAAGGGAAGACAGAGAGTGTATACACCTACGCCATTGTGATCGATTCTGAGCCATGTCACCCAGAGTCTCCAACCATTGGTTACGATTGTCACGCGGACCCCAACCAAGTAGTCTGCATCTACCAACATGGCAAGACTAGAAGTTAGTGACTTCAAGCACCGATAACACGTTTTGGTTTGGCCACCCATAACTTTCTTCCAACCATCCCCAACACTAGTCAGCATTGCGCATCGTGGTAATCGGTGTTCAGCCATACGTAACACGTGGCCCAACCATCTCAGTCGATGGACATTCACAATTTCATCAACTGATTTACCATCATTCTCTAATACCCTACGTCTAACCTCACTATTACTCACTCGGTGATCCCAGCAGACTCCAGCGATATTTCTAAGACATCTGTGGTCAAATACTAGTAGCTTACGAGTGTCTTCTACTCTTAATGGCCATGTTTCGCTGCCGTAAATTAAAACAGAACGGACTGCCGCGCAGTATACTCGTCCTTTTGTTGATAGACGGGTATCTCGCCTTCGCGATAGGTGACGTAAGTTGGCGAAAGCCAAACGAGCTTTTTGAACCCGCGCTGAGATTTCGTCAGACACCAACCCATTAGGGCTGATCAGACTTCCAAGATAAGTGAAGCTGTCGACACGTTCGATTATTTCACTCTCTATCCTTAGTTCAGGTGTTTACGCAGGCCAGTCCTGAAGCAACAACTTGCATTTAGAGGGAGAGAAGCGCATCCCAAACATTCTGGCATTGTTGCTTAGTGCTACCAAAAGACTCTGCATTTTATCAGCGTCTTCGCCAAAAAGGACTATATCATCTGCGTATTCTAAGTCGATAAGTGGACCTCCTGGTAGGAGATCAATACAAGAGAATTCAGTCGACGAGAATGTTATTTCCATCAATAGGTCTATGATGAAGTTAAACAAAAATGGAGAAAGTGGATAGTCTTGACGGACACCGCTTGAAGTTGCAAAAGCAGATGACAATTCACCATAAGCTCTGACTCGACTAGTAGTGTTCAAGTAAAGAACCTTCACAAGGTTTATGTACTTCTGAGGCACATCTTTCAATGACAGACACTGCCACAGAATCTCGCAGTCTACAGAGTCAAATGCTACTTTTAATTCAAGAAAGACCATCATTATCGGACGCCGATAAGTATGCCTGTGTTCTAGAACCTGACAAATGGTGAATATGTGGTCGATACAGCCACAACCAGGTCTGAAGCCAGCTTGATTCTCTCGTGTTTGCAGTTCACGAGTCTTAGTTAGGCCGTCCGATAATTATCGAGGCTAGTATTTTAGATACTATATTAGTTAAACTAATCCCTCTGTGGTTGTCACAGGATGATTCTAACCCCTTCTTATATATATTGGGACAATCAGTGATTGTGACCAGTCAGATGGTATTACGTTCAACCCCCAGATTTTAGCTAAAATATTAGTCAACCTAATCGCCAAAATTGGACCACCATACTTAAAAACCTCTGGAGCCAATCCATCTGGACCAGCTGCCCTTTCTCGTTTCAGATTAGCTTTGGCCTTTTGAACTTCAGCTAGCGTCGAGGGACCTACTTCAATGCTCTATTCACGCTGTCTGGGAATGGAGGGTAATTGTAGAGTGGCTAAAAACCAGCTGAACTGTTCTCTAAAATGTTCCCCCAATCGTTCTAAACATCTGGACTGGGAGCAGATGGAGTGTCGTCTTTTTCCGAAATAGTCTGACTTACACTTGACTTATTAATTCCAGTTTCTTCTGTTAGTCTGTAGAGCTGTCTTGTGTTCCATATAGCCGCCGCCTTTTCCATCTCTTTTGCTTTCGTTGCCCACCACTGCTCACGGTCGTTTCTTAGACTTTTTCTTAACCTAGATCTGATTTGTTGTCGCTCTTCATCATGTTCGGAACCTGATGGGACGAGTTTGCGGGAATCCATCAGTGTGATAGACTTTAAAAAAATCCATTGGTTCTTTGTAACTCTGTGGTTTAAATCACTAATAGATGTCACTGCTGTTTCCACAGCTGTTTGTATGGCTTTCCAAGCAACATCTGGGTCAGCCTCGTTTTCAGAACTACGTAAGTGTGACCTCAGTTGTTCCTGGGACCTACTTTTGGTTTCCTCGCTACTCAGTTCGGTTCTAATGGGTCTTTTTACTGTGGCTTTTTTGCGTCCAGTGAGGCGCAAGCAGATGCGTGCCCGTATTAGGGCGTGGTCGGAGTTCAAGCAGATACTCCAGAATGAACGACAATCTTCTACCCACCCTCTCTAACGATGACTGATGGCAAGACGGTTCATTCGAGTCCATCGTTGGTTTGGTGTAGGGGGTCGCTATGTTAGACGATATCTCTCCTTAGGCTTAAAATTTGTGTTTGCTAAAAATAAACAACTGTCTGAGCACAGTTGCAGCAGACGATCATCATTACCTGTTCGCTGAGCCGGAATACTAAAATATCCACCTAAATGCCTTTCTGTTTGCTTTAAACTACCTATCTGGGCATTAAAGTCACCTGCTACGAGTACTATGCCTGAACGTTTAGCTTTCTGAAGAAGTTCAGATAGCTTTCTGTAAAATTCATCTTTCACTCCGTCCGAGTGTGGGCAGAAACGACAAAAAGGCAACGACGTGTATCTCTATCCTTCCGAGTCCTTACGAAGCTGTTTAGCCGAACAGCACATAAACGACTGTTGACGGGGATCCACTCTAACAGTGCTTGTTCCGCCCTCATGCTTAGTGCTATGCCTACACATGCCAGTCCATGAGAGCTGGCCGTCGGGCCACCAGATACACGGAGGATGTATCTCGTCAGCTCTCCGTTTCGCCAAGGTGAGGTCAACTGAATGACCACACTAGGATCCTGTATGTGTGTTTCGGAGACACAGCATACATCAATGGTACGAGATTCTAGATTTCTAGCCAAGGAAGCCTGCTGACCGATTCGACATAGGGTGCGTACGTTGAAGGCTCCAATGTGTAGTTTGGAGCGAGGTTTCAGTAGACCTGGGACAGTATTTTGAGCACTAGAATCGTTGGCTATGGTGACATTTGAAGAGGAAGCCAAAAAAGGAAGTTTAGAGGTGAAAGTCGATGTAGGAGGAGTAATAGGAAGTGAAGACGGAGGTTGATTAGCAATACAGTGGTCTTGAGTGCTGTTAGAGGTATGAGGGCGGTTATCACTTCCTGGTTGCCCACACCGTGGAAGGGTTGCTCTGGAGGTACCTGAAAAGGAAATTGGATTAGAGGTAGTCTTAGTGACCTGGGGGCGTGACCGCAGTGCTCAAGGGACAACTGCTTGAGGTCAATGACACACGACCTTTTTATGGGTAGTTTTTGTGTTAGCTCCGTACTTGTTGAGACCTTATCACCGGAGACGGATACCCGTGGGATAAGGCAAGGTGTGCATTTTTAGGGTCGACCTTTTCAACCCCACCCCTTCTTGTGGGAAGGCAGCATCGCTGTCATGCTGGTTGTCTGAAGGAAACACCTTACTGCTGTCACACCTCTGTACAGTCAGCAGTACGACTTCATCTTCGGACCTTGGGTTTGTTGCTTTTAGTCTTACCGCTCTTCAACCGACCTGTCTGACATGGTAGGACCTTGAGGAACGGTTGCTCCAGCCAGTATAGCTCGGTTGCTTCATCACGATAGGCAAGCCCGACCACCACATCAAGGTAGCAACAACGGTCAGGTTTTTTTACCAACAACTATGTCACATTCAAGTAGTGATGCTTTGTTACAAGAGTTACGGTGATTTAGAAGAGCTTGTCATATTTAGATGCTAAATAAACGATACCAAAACTTGCAACTCAAAACATGGTGAGACAATCACATGTTTTAAAATTAAAATGGCTTTTTGAAACTAAGGACATGATATAAACTATCACCTACAATTTTTTAGAGCTTTCTTGATGGGGTACTGTTAACATTTCTCGTATTACAACTCATCTACTAACATTGCTTATTCTTCGGACACTAGTTCACTCGACTTGTCCCCAAACCAATACACGGTTAAACAGGAACGTAATTATATTCCAAATAAACAAGGTTGAATGGGAGTAAAATTCACAGTAAGAAAATAGTATTTTTATAATTTTAAACGAGAGGACTCTAGAGTCTTCACCAACTATCCGCTAGCTCTGATTAGCCAAGAAATCGCCAATTACTGTGCTCCAACACAATCCGGCACGCGACATGCTTTGGTCCAACCTACATCCCGCTAACTGACAGTAGTCAGTAATTGAGCTACGGATCGAAAGATGGCTGCAACAACTTCGTGTCTGCATGATTACTCTTCTTAGTTGCAACCATAAGGGCCACAAATACATTAAGCCACGAAAATATGACAACATTGCACTGCATTTAAATACAAACACATCGCTCCACTTGAAATAATTTTAAAAACGTACCGACAGTGTAAATACTAGAATCCGTGACACGTATCACTATGCCAGCTTGTTCATTAGGTAATGCAGTTTCGTTAGCGATTCGAACTAACACTTCATTTCCAATAACAGGAGATCCAGATATCAAACAGGTTTCATCAACGGAGACACAGGACTAATGGAACAAAAACGTGACAAGACGAAATTAGTAATTCCGGGTACTGGATTATATGATTTTGGTAGTAACAGCTTAAATTCTCAAACGGTATGATGTATTAATAAGTATTCTAGGCTACTCAAAATATAGTTCGCTATTTGGATGAAAATTGCTTGCTAGTTTAGTTACATCAACTCGATAGGTATATTTTTTTATGAACTGCCAAAAATTAGTCTTATTTCCCTTGTGATAAAAAGTGAAATTATATAGTGAGCGAAAAACGCTCTAGAATCTGTCAGCAGAATGTCCTAGATTCTTATAGCACAGAATAGTTTATAAATCGAGTAACTTATATACAATTATCAAAGTTCTCACCTAACAAGATTATACTGTTTGAGAATTATAGGTAGACCACATCTCCTGGGATGAAATACGTCTGTGAAATCGAAAGTCACTTAATGAAGTGTGAGACAACCAATAGGTTAAAATAAAAGATAATGACTAAATGAAACAAAAAACGAGAAGGTATTGAGACCATTTATAATAGACTGAAAACTCATTTATACTGCAATCAATATACCTCTTAGTTTTGGCTTTAATTTACTTCATGTTAAATCTCTCACTACCTACGCCCAATTACTTAAGATTGACAGATGAGTTTTTTGAGAAAGATGTATTGAAAGCAAACAATATTTGTGAAAAAAAGATGTAATTGGATTACCTTATTAGATTTTAGCTGAACACGGAGACGGAATTTTAGATCCACATGATCTACCGTCGCCTCACAAAATGCACCACGATACTTGGCACTTACAGCAGTGCCTACGGTCAAAAATGACGAGGGGAAACACTGTACGGACCCAGGAGCATCAGAGTTTGATGTTTCGTTCTCAGGAATGGAATTGACTTGGGTTTTGTCCATGCTGATTGATGACTAACAAAATAACAAGGATAAAGGCTAATTATTATAAAATTGAGCTCAAAAATGATCTTATGATCATATGAAAATATATTCAGCAATAAATACAGGTTCTCAGAACACAGCCAACAGCTTTTCTGGACTACACAACTTCCAATAAGAATCAATTTGTTTTTGTAATACTCCAAAAAGAAGGAAAAGGAAGAGTGCGACCGACGATCACAACATTTTAAAAGTTGAAACAATCCACAAGTTAGTTGGTTACTCTTCGGTGACTGATTAATCTATTAAAGCCACTCCAAGGTCATATCAGTGTAGTTATTTTTAACTGCACCAATGAGTAACTTGATCTCAGCCATGAAAGTATGATATTCTCTGAGGTAAAAGACACTTCTGAAACAGATTCCAGAAAGTATAAAATCTACATTCGAAGTTTTAGGAAGATTTCCAATTAATCTTTCAAATTACAAACACTTCCGCAAGCCTTGCTAAATGTTAGGGTTTTTAACTACATAATAATAAAACGTTTACTTGATGTTATGCGAATAGACAGATAAAAGCGAAAGACCTGGCATAAGTGCATTTAAGTTCTAATCACTATACTCTGCATAGGTACATCAAGACTAATTGAACGAGATGAAAAGTAAACTAGCTGAAGTAACAGTCAGTAATGTAATAATAAACAAAATAGATATAGCTCCAGACACAAATAAAAGATTCGAATGAAAAGCATGAATCAACCTTAAGCTGGACAGTTAGAGAATGATAAAAAAAGGATACATTTGCATTACCTCGACTGATTTTGAGCTAGGGCACCTTGGCATCGTTAGCCCACAAACACTAACTACTCAACTCTCTGAAGTAGGAATAAGCGCTACCAGAAACTGGTTAGAAAAACTAAGTTTCGAATTAGGAACAGAAACGTATATAAACATTGCTCAAACACTTGATGGAGGGTGAAGAAATTATTAATGGACGCAAAAACCTGGTGAAAAAAGCATGATCTCTAACGATCAGTGTTTCACGTGCTTTGCACAATCGGCTCATTACGACTGTGATACACTAAAAAGATTCAGTGAGATCCCATGATGTCTCATGATTGCATAGTAGGTAAAATCTAATGTGGATGGGGCATTGGAAGTGAACTATTCATTGAAGGCAGGTTACCTGAATGTTATCAAGGTAAGTCTGGTTACCTATACATACGTACGAGTTGCCCCCAAATGGCCTGGTACGGCCGAGACAGAAGAGTGTCCGCTCTCCCTCTCGAAACGCTCTCACATGGCCACGCGTATACGGCCACTACTACGGAAGGCCTACGCACTGCCTTATCGTGACAGGGTGTTGTTTACGAAATTGAGAGGACGAACAGCGAATGTTCGGCGCCTTAACCGGGTTGGTAGACACGGAGAGTCCACCTAGGGGAGTTGGAAAACCCTGATTCCAAACCAATGGTGCACATGGGCTCCAGTATCCTGCGGGAACAAATGGTGTATGAACCAATCGTTGGTCACCGGCTTCCATGGGACTGCATCTCCTTACGATGCTCCACTATCTTGTGGGTCGGGGAGTGGCCACCTAAGAAAACCACCTGCCTCGATTTGGGCACCCGAGCAGTATTACAGCCCTCACACATATTGAATGAGATTTGTGTGGCGCATATGTATTTGGTGCCTCTTTTTACCAGTATCCATGTGTTAAAATAAATAAATATAAATAGTTACAATCATAACAGGATGTAATGATCTATGAAGTTTGATTTATCAGATTCTTTATGTCTTCAGTAGTTTAACTCTAACCTTAACCCTAAACCCTAACTCTAACCCTAACCCCATGCACTATGATTTCAGGACATCTCAACCTTTAGCTAACCTTAACAAGTTTTTAAATCATGTAAAAGAATATCCGCTGTAATTCATAAGTTTTTATAATGTTTTCACTTTATACTATCTCTCTTCTGATTGGCTAATAGTTTCAAGGTCACTTAAAAATTCGTTCAAAGGTCGTCCATAAAATATAGTCCTACCAAATAAATATAAGTAAATAAAATTACATTGGGTAGAGACAAACTAGCCTTGAGTCTTTCGAAATATCCTTAAAAGCATTTCAACAATGTTACTATATGTAGTATTACACCAGGCATTAAAATGCGCTATATTTCACCGCTCTAGGCTTTGAGACGAGCTCGAGAAACCTACTAGAGCCAGACAGCTAGAATACACATTTCATATATTTCCAGTACTTATTTCATCTATTTACTAACTTGAAATATTCTTACATTAACTACTAGAGTTTGTGACACACCCCTATTAATAACTAATATGGTCAAAGGAATAAGAATCGGCAATATGCAGAAAACTTCAAAGTCAATGTTTTATTGCAACATACGTTGTATGTACAAGACCTTTATTCGTTAGGCAAAAAGCGGATATAAGTCCAAAATCTCGGATAATTAGGATGAATAAAGAGTAACGGATACTGTCTAAATTAATTTAGACAGTTTCGGGTTGTTAACGTGGATGTTATGCGTTACTGATTCTGAGTATGATAAGACCTTACTAAAATACTCAGTAACTAAAACATCTCTAAAGAACTGTACCGATATGAAAACTTACCACACTCATTTTGAGAAAAAGCTTCCAAGGCTAAGGCTCATTATGTAACGCAACGTCTTAAAATGCCCCAATTTTCCAATACCAATGTCAGAACGAATATTTAGATTTCAATTTTTAACAAGAAGACGAACCATTAGTTTCCTGGTACCTGTGTATTAATAGTACGATGTTCTTGATCATGAAAATATACAATACATTCTTATCAGGCTCGATGTTTAGGAAATTGAGATTTTTCCTCGCTTAATATTATTATTTTGACCATTTATTACTACTGTTCCAGCTTTATTATAATTTATTTTGATCAATGAAGGTATCTTTTATTTAGAGGCGATTTATTATCCGTACATTTGAGTACATCGGTTCCTTCTGTACTTGCTTGCAATTTTGTTTCTTACAATTTACAGTTTTCCACTTTTTCCGATTACTTTACTATATCTTGTGGGTGCCTGAAACAAGTCTATTCTTAAAGACCAATTGTAGCGGTAAATAAATCCCTAAAATATATAGCTCTTTTAGTCTTCGACATTGGATGCTGACCACATGTTTTAATGGACTCATCTAGCTGAAGCGCTCGGTCATGCATCGCACCAGATCACGAGTGGGAACGCCATGCTCAACAACCCTTGCAATCGCCAGCCAAATTAGATCAGTCGATTCTCAATATATTGATAGCCTATCAAATATATCTTCGAACCATCTCGCTTCTGTCTTTTGATTTCACTTGGTTGGTATGCTTCATATTAGAAGGTGTTACTGGTTAAAGCGTTGTCAAACTCCGAATACCTGCGGCATCTTCATTTTGACTGGTTATTGGACAGAGGAAAAAAGGCAGTTGCCAGCATTCAGACTGTAGCGTGGTGTCGAGTTGAGATCAACTATGAACACCGCTACCAAGAAACACGTGAAAAATAGATCAGAAGGCGTAAGAATCTCGTTCCAAATTACTCCATAAAATCCCCGAGAAGCCGAATACCAGAAGGCAATTAATGGACCAAGTCGAGGTTTATTTGCTGGCGATCTCGTGGCATCGAAAGGATACCGAGATCGTGCCAGGATACAACCTTGGTTACAGGACGTAACCGAATTCGCGCGAAGTTACAATCAAAGTGTAAGTATAAGAATGGAAGCACAAAATAGCTGTCACTAGCACAGTCAAACAAAAGCACATTAAAACAGTCACTGGTACACTTGGTTATAATAATAAGCGTTTTTATTAAACCAGTCGTGTTCTCGTGATAAATGTGAGTCACTACAGGAGCCCCCCGCCAGAAAGGGTTAACACTTTCGATAAATAGCGGTTTAAATCGTGGGACTGATCGGCTGACGAGCGATTGTAGGACGGAAGAATTGGCGAACAGGAAAGCGATCGTTGATCGTCGAGTTGCCAACGAAGGTCGTTTTCGGAGAACGGTACCAGGAGCGATGTGCTGTATGTATTGCTTGAGTTGGCATGCTACACGAGAGTGGTTTGTATCCAGAATCTGAAGAGGGCGTTCGTAGAGGTGCGCACCAGAAACGCTGCAGACGTAGGACGAAACCACGTTGAGCCAAAAGACCAGAAGCGACCGTAACGACCAAGTTCGAGACCGAGCGTGTGCCAAGCATTCGAAACCAATATATCGACTGAGTGCGTTGACTAGAGCATGGGTGGCCAATCCAGCTTTCGCCAAATTTGACTGAAGTCGACGGAACCAAACGGAGATGGTCGAAGGCGTGGGCTCAGGAAACAAAAAGAAAATCAAAAAAAGAAGAGTGTAGCATACGTGTAGTATAGGGATAATCCTACACCGTATCGGTTGTTCACTGTGCGGCTAGTCGCGGAAGTGTACGGGTAACCGTACTCGGCGACCGGAACGTGAGACGGCAGTCTCGTTCGTATCGCGTGAGCCTGCAATCTCATCCGAGGTCAGAGGCGGCGTGGTCTGCTGATCTGGACGTGAGACTGTCGTCTCGTCCGTAGACGGTGCAGATGACGCGTGCTGTTGACCGGGACGTGAGAATGAGGTCTCAGATGCATCTAGCGTGGGACCTGAAGAAGATTTAAGGATCCCGCTAGGTTTGATAGGTCTAGCATTGAATCTCAGGGTGTCAGATAGGGCACTGTCATCGACGTGTGCTGGTTTGAGACGATCAATGCTGACGATCTCGACGCGTCCATATCGATCAACCTTGAAGGTCTTTTCGTGACGAGCGATCACGTGAAAAGGGCCTTCGTAAGGTTGTTGCCAAGGTTTGCGTACCGAATCTACTCGTACAAAAACATGTGAACAGGTAGATAACTCTCGAGGGAGAGCGACCTGTCGATGTTGTATTCGAGTTGACACCAGAGACAGCGTTCGCATAAATGCAGACAGTCGATGGACGTAGTCTGATTTACCGAAATTAGGTCTGCTCCGTGGTGTGAATTCTCCGGGCAGACGCAATGTCGTGCCGTATACAAGTTCAGTGGCGGAACATTGGATATCTGCCTTTAAGCTCGTTCTCATCCCTAAAAGAACGAGCGGTAAGGTTTCGTGCCAGTTGCCGTTTTCGTGTGCTCGTAGAACACTTTTAAGTTGGCAGTGAAACCGTTCAACTTAACCATTTGGTGCTGGGTGGTAGACGGATATGCTTATGCGTATGCATTCCGTACCAAGCAGCCGGGTCAGCGAGGAGAATCGTTAATAGGGTAACATTTCTCGAATAAAGCGTGGAATTCATCATCACGCGAATAAAAAGTGACAAGGATTCGGTACACATACGTGTGAGTCTATTATATTAATACTATTCTTATCGTTATCCGTCATGTCGAGTATATTATATATTAAAAAATATGAAAATATACGACAGACGTGGATAGATAAATCATAGACTCACCGAATTGGCTTCTTTGGAAGATTTGATCAGAAGTTGAGGCGTGTTCCAAAATACGGGTTGTAGTGGCATTGGACAATAGCCACACAATCCACAAAGCTGTGAACACGAGACTACTCAGAAAATAAATATTCAATATTTAACGCCGAGAAATACCAAAAAATGGAGAAGGCGCGAACAATGAATTGAATGGACTGGAGTTGATCGAGTGGCATGGCTCGGCCATGCAGGCGTGGTCTCTATTCATATTAAATATATTGTTCTTTCTCTAACCTAACCTCGTTCTTCATCATGTATTGGTAATTGATACGATACAGTGAGTTGGCGTAGTCGATGGTGTGACTTCCACGTAAGATCTTATAGATTAGGCAGTTATATCATGACGAATCTACAAATTTAGGATTAGGTCTATTATTAGAGCAGTACTAATATCATAGTAGACCATAATTCTACATTGGTGAGCCCAACTAAAGAAACGCAACCCATTACTGTTGATCCTTATTTCTACCTTAACCTTCTCAATCGGTTTTTATTTTTGTAAACCCAGTATTCGTATAGTCCTTTGATTAATTGTCACATATATTATCGTAATGTTATATCTATTAGTTCACATAACTTACTAGCTCGATCGATTATAAAAGTTGATCATCTATATTAAGTAATTAGCTTTGATGGTTCGTTAACAAGCTTTAATAGCATTTACATGCTTCAGCGACATAGACTTGTTCAAACATCAAGCTCTAGCAAATATGACCTGTAAATAGCGTAAATATACATTGACTAACAATGCAATCAAGGACTAAATAGTTACCTGGATCTAATATTCAGTGTCCCTTCACTTAACACCTCATCCTGTTTTAAACTACGCACTATCCTGTAATATCTTTTCTTCCGACCACTGCCTGCCTAATTTCATATTCTCGAGTTCCATTGCCAAACAACAAGGATGACACTTCTCCAAAAAAATACTGTAAGTTCCAGCTATAAGTTTTCTGCAATCATAAGTTCATTTTAGATGTCTCATTCAATGGCACACACAATTATCTGGATTCATTCAGTTGTTCTGATCAGAGCGAGTCCCAAAAACCTCAACAGCATCAAGCACCCTGGAAGCGATTGCCATACTACATGTTTTATTCTGGATGCTTTTGGATCATTACTACTCACGAATGGCGTTATATATGTCGTCCACTGAATAATCTAATTTTCAAAAATAACCCAGGCGAGTTCAACTGTTTTACTTAATGATTTTTTTTACTTAAAATGTATATGTTTTCCGGTTCCTTTTGCTATATATTTGTAAGTGTCCCTAGGCTAAATGCAGTAACTCCTTATGGAATGTTTATAACGCATCATATTCCTGCCTGAAGTTTCACAAGCAGTCTAAACTTTAAAACTATTTTCTGGTCATGTTCATTATTTTTAAATCGTCATATACGTCAACAACCTGCATGTTAACCTGGCCCATACATACGTTGCACTATATCTCCATGTCTTCTAAATTTAGGAATCATCTGAGTCGCCTTTAGCATTTATCAATAAACCCATCATAGTCGTTGTTGCTAATCGTATTTGGGTTTATGGATTGGTTTGTCATATTAGCAGCCTAAAATGCGAACATAGTTTAGATAATAAGATTAAAAATTTAGGTACTGTCAACTGCACTAGTAAAATAACCAAATCCCCAGGTAGCTGTTGACTAAACAAACGTTTAAAATCAAAACTCCGTAGCCTACTAAAATTAACACTAAACGAATATTTCTGAATTGAAATTTATAATTAAATTAGGCGTCCCGGATTCTTTAACGTTATAAGTTTCTGATGATTTCGAATCACCTAAAGCAACAATACCTATTTTTCCACTGACTAATCCTTAATCAACACTATAACTAGTTAAATTTAATAGTTTCAGGATATCGTCATAAAGCATTGTCATAACTTGACAATCACGTAATATGATTGATAATATTAATGAAACTATTAACATAACCGGTCTTCAAATCGACTTATAATTATCACTAGTGTTGTTTTTCTTTTATCTTCATTCACTACAGATGATTACAGTATGTTTCTCTATCAGTTGCTCATTCAGTAAAAATCTCAAAACCTTGTCAGTCTAATTGATGGTTTAGCGACACAATCATGCATGCAAATAATCAGTATAAGCAGTCGAGCAAATCTCCTGTAAACTGAAAACATCAATGTCGAATTTACCCCAACACTGACTAA